CAGAGAGTCTGGATTCTTTGTATTATTGTGTTTTCTTTAAAATTTTTGACTGTAAAGGAGCTAAGTACAGAGAGACATTTCATTATATGGGCTGCCAAGTGAAACCAGAACGGATATCATGAGGGTATGACTTCAGAATTTGGGTCTAAAGATATGATGCTTTGGAAAGGGTCTTCTTTTGTTTTCACAGAGGATGAGACCCTGTGGATTGCGTCTATCCTAATATGGTATGATAGACCACGCCCTCCTGAAAGGTTGCTGTGAACACCCTCAAAAAATTACTTTGCTCAACTGCCAACTAAAATGAACCTAACAGACAGGTTGTCCCATAAAAGACCTAAATAACAGCATCCCCATTAAGCAGGAAGCAGTTTGGAGAAAAAAAAACTGTGCCCATGTTCCCAAATATTGTTTATAAATGTTCTTTTACATTTAAAGGGAGATATGATATAGATATAAATAACTTGCATTGGTGTGGATTTTAAGGTCAATTTTGTTATATGTATATGTATTTCTGATCTTGATTAAGGTATTGTGATTGTATAGTTCATTTTTAAAATGTAACGTATAATTAGGAAATAAAGGTTGTTGATGGATAATCATTGATAATAGTCAAGCTTGTAGTCATGTTAGATTTTCTAGATATATAGAGATATATTTCAGTTAGATAGGCATTCTTCATATCTTTCAAAGACTACAGAATATGACCTTTAATGTTTTAATAACTTAGGGCTTTTCATGACAATGAGACACATCTGCTCCTGGCAGCACCAATCTACTTCAAGAGAAAGATGGGCATCAAAGAGGCTCCTTATGGAGTTTGATAGCCATTTGGGCAAGAAACTGCTCTTGCCTGGACTGGTGCATAAACTGGACACAAAGAACCCGCAGAAAGAGGACTGCTGAACTTGCCTTAAGGATGGATGAGGTCTTTCGGGGTTCCTGATTCATGAAAGTCTGTGAGACATTCTACAGGACACAGCAGAAAGTGACTAAATTGTCTTTAAAATTTCCTGCTTCATAAAAAATGTCTGCTGGATACTATGGGCCTGAAGGCCAAAGATGAATGCCCCAACAGTACAGAGGAACTTTGGGTGACTGCCCAGGCAGTGAGATGCCTCTGTCATTTCTAGAGTTTTGGATTTCTTGCTTGCTTAGGTAATATTATATCCTTCTGGAATCTTTGATGGAGTTGGAAAATAGATAGTTATAGTTTTCCTTAGATATAATAAAAGATAAAGTAGATATAAATATTGTAACTGTAATTCTTACTTGATAACTGTTTTTTATATGTAATTTTACTATGTTAAAGTTAAAGCCTTTCTTTTTTGTTTAAACAGAAAAAGGGAAAATGATGGAAGTGGGTCTTGTATCTTATCTGTTGCTTTCATTGGTTAACTAATAAAGAAAACTGCTTGGCCTGATAGGACAGAAAATTAGGTAGGCGGAATAGACAGAACAGAATGCTGGGAGAAAAAAGCTGAGTCAGGCAGTCTCCATGATTCTCCCACTCCAGACAGACGCAGGTTAAGATCTTTCCTGGTAAGCCACCTTGTATGCTACACAGAATATTAGAAATGGGTTAGATCAATATGTAAGAGCTAGCCAATAAGAGGCTGGAACTAATGGGCCAGGCAGTGTTTAAAAGAATAGTTTCCATGTAATTACTTTGGGTAAAGCTAGACGTCTAGGTGGCCGGGTGCCAGGAACGTAGCCCGCAGCTCCTACAACAGCCATTCTCTACTTCATATTTATTGTTTTAAGAGAAGGGTTCTCATATTTTTCAAAGTGGCCTTGAACTCAAAATCATCCTTTTTGGGCCTTAGTAGTGGGCATTACAGGGGTGTGACAGTGAACCTGGATTATTAATAATTTTTTTCTTTACTGGTAACTGTAATTGAACCCATGGCCCTGTACATACTAAACAAACAACCTGTCACTAAACTATATCCCAGTCTTTCAGTTCAGTTTTTCAGTCTTTCCTTCCTTCCTTCCTTCCTTCCTTCCTTCCTTCCTTCCTTCCTTCCTTTCTTCCCTCCCTCCCTCCCTCTCTTTCTCCCATTCTCTCTCTCTCTTTGTTTATTTGTTTTTAAAGTCTTGAGAATCCCAGGCTTGTCTTGAAATAGTTACATAAGGGAAATGTCCTTAAACTTCTAATCCTCCTGCTACCAGCTCCCAGGCACGCCATGCTGAAGTTATGTAGTTCTGCTGAGCTAGCCTAGGCTTTCTACAAGTTAGGCAAGCACTCTACCAACTGAGCCACATCCCTGGCTTCTGTCCGTTTTTAAACTGTTTCACTCTTGTGTCCCTTTTCCAATGGTAAAATAGAAGTTTCATAAATTCTGTTCTTGCACAACACACCATTCAGCACCGCAGAGAAGATGGGACGCATTGCTGGAGCTCTCTTGCTGGGGCCAGTTTGGTTAATATCACACAATGGCCCAGAGAGTTTTATCAGTTTTCCTATCATTCAGTTGGTGCTGAGCTGAGGCTGGAGCTCAGTGGCACAGCACTCGTTTGGGGCTTGTGGGACTCAGGTTCTATCCTCGGTGCTATAAAACTGCTTCATGATTTGGCTTCACCTTTAAGCTATTCTCCCCCCCCCTCCCTGAGACAGGATTTCTCTGTGTAACAACCCTGGCTGTCCTGAAACTTGCTCTGTAGACCAGATTGGCCTCAAACTCACAGAGATCTGCCTGACTCTGCCTCGTGAGTGCTGGGATTAAAGGTGGACGCTACTACCGCCAGGTTTAAGCTATCTTTTTTTACATTATTGTTTTATTACTTCAAAAAATATCAATCTAAATTCCCACTCCCCTCCTCCAATTCCCTCCACACACCCTCCCATCCTTCCCTAAGCTATTATTTTTTTTAAAAAAAAAATCATTTTTATCCCAGGCTTTTTCAGACCCAGGCCAGCTGGCCTTGGTGAGTTCCCTATAGAACATCCCCATTGTCTCAGTGTGTGGGTGCACCCCTCGCGGTCCTGAGTTCCTTGCTCGTGCTCTCTCTCCTTCTGCTCCTGATTTGGACCTTGAGATTTCTGTCCGGTGCTCCAATGTGGGTCTCTGTCTCTGTCTCCTTTCATCACCTGATGAAGGTTAATATTTAGGAGGATGCCTATATGTTTTTCTTTGGGTTCACCTTCTTATTTAGCTTCTCTAGAATCACGAATTATAGGCTCAATGTCCTTTTAGCTAGTGCATGCGTGTGTGTGTGTGTGTGTGTGCATGCATGTGTACTTGTGTGAGTGCCTGTGTGTGTTTTCCATGTACATTCCAGGGACTGAACTCAGTTCATCAGACTCGGCAGCAAAGTGCCTTTACCCCCTCAGCCATCTCCTCAGCTCCCTTTAAGCTCTTCTTGGTAAACCACTCAATGAAAATTTAAAAAGCTTAAACGTAAAAAAATTTAAAAAGATAAAAAAAAGTTCATCAAACATAATAGCCATTGGATGATAAAGTAACAAAAAGTCTTGCCTTCTTCCATGGCAGCGTTAGTGATGAAACAGCAGGTAGATGATCTGCTTGACTCAACCACGATACAGGAATGTTTTATTTACAAGGAAGCTGGACAGATAATTGGAAAATGCTTAAACCCTTAGCTGAGGGGCTACTGACTATAGAGGAAAAAGATGCCTTTTTCTTTGGACGTGTGGTCCCTGGTATGTTCCGCATGCCCCAGGGGATGGTCCCACACCTCTATACATCCAGGCAGCACTCATTCCACTCAGTGGGTTCGAGAAAACAAGGGGGCCAGGTTTGCAGGTTGAAGGGAAACATGGCAGGGGAGGTCCAGGAGAAGTTAGAAAAGGGGCGGGGTGTATGGGATGGATAGGGTCAAACTACACTGGATTCATCTACGGACTTATTAAAGAGTAAAAGTGATGTTCAAAAGATTCCCTTTGGTAAATGCAAAAGCAGGTATGGCTGGAAAGGGAGAAAGAAAAATGCTTAAAAAATAAGTGGTTAAATATAAGCCAACCTTTCCAGTGCTTTTGTTTTGTATTTAAGACACTCAATTTATAGCCAGTGTTTCAGAACATATTAGTCATGACAATCTGTTCACACCTGCCTCGTTGCCATATATGCAAGTGTTTGCTGCTGGGGCACAGACTTGGTGCCATGAAGAAATGTTTTCATTTGTATTGCTGTGGATTGAACTAAGGACCTGGCTCACGCTAGGCAAGTGAACTACCACGGAGCCACACACCCAGTTCTTTAAAGGGTCTTGTCATCAAAATATGTTACCGCCAATAGGAGGACAGGGTACATGCCTCTTTTCCGGGGCTACGGAAAGCAACCGCTCACTGCTCTCTCTTTTTGATATTTCTGTGGGAATGGGAATGGAAACCAGGGCCTTCTGTATGCTAGGCAAATGTTCTGCCTGAGCTGTATCTCCAATCCTTTCTTATGGTATTCATTTATACATTATTTACTTATTTAGGAAACAAGATTTCATGGAATTGTTCAGGTTGGCCTCAAACTCACTCTGTAACCCACACAGACCTTGGCCTTGCAACCATTCTGCCCCGCCCTCCAATGCAGCTGGGATTACAGGCCTGCACAACTAAGGCCAGTTTTTAGTTTTATTAAAAAAAAATTTTATTGAAAAAAAGAAAAAAAAAGTTTCTGCCTCCTCCCAGCCTCCCATTTCCCTCTCCCTCCTCCCACCCTTCTCCCCCTCCCTCCACTCCTCTCCCCCTCCCTCTCCAGTCCAAAGAGCAGTCAGGGTTCCCTGCCCTGTGGAAAGTCCAAGGACCTCCCCCCTCCGTCCATGTCTAGGAAGGTGATCATCCAAACTGGTTAGGCTCCCACCAAGCCAGAACATGAAGTAGTTGCGACAGGGTCTACATTCCCTAGGTCGGCGATGAACTTGCAATCCCCTTGCCTCAGCTTCCCATGTAACTGGGACTTCGCTCCTGTACCACCAGGCCCATTCGGGCCCATTAATTATTTTTCTAGGAAAGAATACACTTTGACACAGAGACAACAGGAAACTTTTGTTTATTGAACAATTTTCACACAACTGGCTACATCACATTGCGATTACAACATCGATGAGCTGAAACTATGTGCGGGTTTAGAGGAAGGGAACACCTAAAAGGAAACCAGGCATATAGAGGTAGTTGAATAGCGCGTTGGTGGGGAGAAAGCGTTATCTTAATTTCCCTTCAACTCTGTGCAAAAGTCAACTGGTTGCTTAACAAACAAGTGGAAACCAAACACACCCACACACACACACACACTTGCCACTGTTTAAACGGCCTGATGTTTTAATCCCGGCATCACAGAGAACTGCATACAATAATGAGACTCGTTTATCTTACATCGGCCGATGGTGGCACGCTGAGCTATTGGCTCTTCTTTGTATCTCCCGGGTTGTCTTCGTCACTTGAACAACGGACGAATGTCAGCGGACTTTTCAGATAATGCACAAGGTACAGTGTTGCAGTGTAAACTTCTGTTAATCACATTTGTGGCTGCAAACAGTTTTTAAATGCTACAAGGTCGTGAAGCCAAAGCTTGAAAGAGACACCAGGAACAGCGGTTCCAGGCACTTCTCTCCGGAGGTTAACTTAACATGCTTGGGCACAACCACTTCTAAGTGAAAAGTTCTTTGTTTCACCTGTGGATGGGTAAAGTTCAGAGCATCGAGTAGCTAAGCAGTGGAGTGGGTGGCATCTACCATTCTAAAAGGAACTGGATGTGTACACTGTGCATGGCTCCTTTCCCTTCCTGCTCTCTGTACACGAGAAATGCCAGAAAGCAAAGCCTGGCTGCTTTTCAGAGCTGTCTTCCATCCAGAATCAAAATCTCACTCCTTAGGCCCTAGAGTGGGCTTCCCGCCTGCTCACGTCTACTTGGATGAGTAGAAATGGACACACAGTCAACAAGCTTGCAACCCAAGGAATGAATCGACGGTTAAAATTCACAAGGCGGAAATGGAGTTGGCACAGGAAATGCAGGCCCCGGAGGGTTGCAGTCCATCAACAGGACATGACCTGTTGGCTGTAAGAGAACTCTGGGTGCACTGACCCAGGCATGGGAGTTCTGAGGCTTTTGTGGCTAGTCACAGGGGAATCTCTGAACCCGGGTCAGCTCCACAGGCAGAGACGGCAGTGCCACAAGTGCCATAACTCAACTCTGCTATTGAGGCAGCATTGTACTTGAAGCAGCTGACCTTCAGGAAGGCAAGCTTTTGGAATAGTGCTATGTCCCCAAAAGTGAGGAGCAAACACCATGTTCTTCAAATTATCTACGGAAAAGTAGTTTGTTCATTTTTCACTTTCTACATTTTGCTGGTTTATAGCTAGCAGCAGTGGTACGGTACAAAGCAGAAAGGCATAAGGTCTGCTTGCTACCTAGTGTATGTGTGTGTATACGCACACACAAACACACACACACAGATATACACATATACATACACACAAAGTAGATAGTCTATAGGGAAAAAACTGGGTCAGCCATGCTAGAAAGGAGGACTAACCCAAGAAAGTGGCACTGTCTACAAGGGGGGGAATCTTGTCCTTCCAGCCGAGACTTAGAAGCAGAACCAGTCTGCAAGCGCTAAAGATGGTCAAGTTCAACTGATTGTCCCTCTCGTGCACATCGCCAAGAAAGTTAAAGCCTTACTCTGCTGCTTCCCGCCATCACTGAAACAAAAGCTGACTGGAGAACAAACCCAACATGGATTCAGGCTGCTCAGAGGAACATGCTATGCAGCCCAGCCAAGATTTCCATGTGCTCAAATTAGGTATCCTCTTACCAATGAGTACCTCAACTTAACTTCCATTAAGGAGCCAAACTTCCTCTTTCCCTTAGACTAACAAGAGATGTGTTGGGCACTTCTCACTTCGAGCTCGTAAGGTGGTTTATGATTTGGCTGCCATGTCTACTGAATAAAACGTGTAACAAACTGTTCAAAACATTGAAAGATCTGCCATGTGATAGGCAAAGAATCAAGCTTGGCCACTCATTGAATGAACATGCTACATAGGCATATTCTTTAAAATTGCTGAGCCTGTTTCCTTCTCCATATATGTTGCTTAACAACGCTGTCTAAAGGTTATTCCATGTATTCAGGTGAATGAGATCACTCACTTTCGTACCTGGTACATGGTAGGTTCTCAACATACTATTGTAGAGCCTGTTATTTGGGAGAGCATAATGAAATACCATTAGCTATGTGCAAAACCTATAGATGGTGAAATCTAATTATTTATAGCTGAAATTCTCAACACATTTTGAAGAATGGGGAAGGTGTGGTCATGCTCATAGAGCTAAAACTTAAGTCTTCCATTCTATCAGAAATTTTAGATTCCCCAAATACAGGATTGCTTTTTCGGCCTTATTAAGATGGGAGCTATTTTCTTGACATCGAAATTAGTCCCTACCGCTAATACTCGTTTGTTCTCCAGTCCTTTCGTTTTATCTACGTTTCTTCTATTTCTACAGTACTGGAGCTAGAACCCAGTGACCCATGCCGGTAAGGCAAACACAAGCAACTGAGCCACATCCCCAGCCTGGCTTTCCTAGTTTCACCCCCAGTAGGAGTTACTTGCAAACCATCAAGCTGTGGTCCAAGAATCAGTGGTTTGAACTTTCCCCACCGAGGTTAACGTGGCTGTAAATGAGTACAGCCAGTAAAGGCGGGGCTTCACATAACTGTAGACTACTGATGACAGCGTCCGACATGGCTGGTGACAGTTTGTCTCTCTCATCATCAAGGCACTGTGCTAAGTAATTTCTGACATGTCTAATTTAATGTTCCTAAGAAACCTAATTGCTATTAACATCACCACCGTTCCATCGTTTAATACAAAATACAGAATACTATCCAAATCTGCATGCTATCCTTACAATGGGGCTGTGATCATCTTCTCTTTGCCGTTCCAATTTTAGTATCTGTGCGGCTGAAGTGAGCGCCAGTACCATTTCATGTGAGGAAACTGGGGCTCAGTGCCAGTTAAATCAATGCCAAAGTACCACGTGTAGTACGTGGAGAGGCTTTTCATCTTTTTCTCTGCTGTGTTTGCACTGCAGGATAGGAAACAATCATACTAGGACCTCGCCATGGCCATATAGTTGGGTGTCAGGCGGGAGGGGAAAGCGTCTTCATTTCCCGCTTTCGAAACCCTCTAGACTTAACTCAGATGGTGTCCGCTCCTACATTTCCATTCCACACACTTGAATTCTCCGCTCGCCCAGATCATTCCAAACATCAAAGCTGAGCTGATGACGCTCTGACAGTACAGCCTAGGTAAGCAAGTGCAGATAATGACTCATGTGCCTTCTGCTTACAGGAGTCTCTTTGACAGCATCTGGAGACCACCTCTGTCTCACACTCAAACCCCACCGGTGGTTACAGAGGAACCCAGACTGATTCTTGAATCTCTCTCTCTCTGTGAGTCCTGCTAACAGAATGGAGGGGCTACACGTGAATAACACACCATAGCTGTCCAAAAATCACCTGGGAGTAGTTTGCCCAAGAAAGAAATGTGACAATTTCCTTTGCCTGGCTCTAATTTTCTTCTCTGCTTTTAAAACACGTACACACTGTTTTTCAGCTTTCTCTAACACTAAAGGACTCAAACTAGCAGTAAGCAAACTAAACAATGCTATCCCACCCTTTCCCCCTTTTCTCCCCATGAAAATCTTTTTTCCCACTGAAATCTTTGGTCCATTGTTTCCAAGAGGGAAGGCAGTGTTTACATAAAATCGTAGATTCATTCTCTGGTTCTTTTATAGAGATTTAAAAGTGGGCTCAAACCTATCTGATATCTTTACAATTTGAAGATGGAATAGCCCCTCGAGTATTCCAGCAGGTGCGGGTACGGGTCTTGAGGCCATTCGCTCTGAAACACCCGGTAAATATCAATCTTATCCTTAACCGAACTGGGGAGAAATTAACACACTTGTCATCAGATTGCCTGAAACAAATACCTCTAAAAGGTTGTAATAAAAGACACTCCTAATTTATCTCTCTGTTTTGAATAATCCTTTCAGCCTTGTTCTGCATGACACCCACAAAATGTCCACGTTTACTTCACTCTTACACACGCCACAACTTATGCCAAATCAAGTATTTTCTATCACTTAACTCAAACTGAAAGAGTGGAATCTGTGAAGATAAACCACCTCAGAATCCTTCTGAAATTCTTTGAAACTTAGTCCACTAGAATAGACAAGAACTATATAAAAATCCTCTAAGAACTACGATTACTTCAGCAAAACGTAAAGAAAGAACCTCACACATGTTTAGTACTGTTAATCCCCTACATACAGTCAACCACTTCAATAAATAAAGCAATGGACTTCTCAGTAACGTAAACTTAAATAGTTACAAACGTACATGTAGAAAAAGGATACAGTAGTGCAAAAAATAAATTATTAAAACAGAAAGAAGTATGAACATTATTTTACACAATGCTCTATAAAACCTGAACCATTTGAAATGAGACCTCAAGTCAGTGAAAGAATACAGTGACGCCTGCATCCGCTTCCCATTCCAAACACACAGTCACTCAGCTACGACAGACAAACTTTTAGAAAAACTGACACTAAACAGCGACTTTTACTGGCCTCTTCCACACCTCTGGCTGTTAGTGTCAAAAAGCATCTGAAGACAGAAAGTCAAACAGGTCACATCCTTTCTGTCTTCCTACTCAACTTCTGTGTGGTCAAAACACAGAGCAACATCTCTCAAAAATACTTTCTTCTGTTAGCGTGTTATTACAACTAGATATCTGACACAAGAACATCACCCCAGGGCAGTGGAGAGGGTGGAAATGCCTCCTTTCCAGTCTGCTCCCCCTAATTTTGGTTTCTGGCTATAAAGGCCAGGATTCGCCGAATACCATTCAGTCTATCCTTTAGGGACTTCATTGCTAGGAAGGGGAGCTGAGCTCTGGTTTCCAGGGGAAGAACCGCCAGTGTCCACCAGCACCAGGCTGGACCGTTCGGATTAACCTGCAACAGAGAAACACAGTTCATTGTGTATGTGCCGTCCACATACACAAGTCCTCACGCATAAAGTAAACACCCCACATGGGCCCACTTAGGTGTGTGGCCGAGGCTGCTGAGAGCTTCCATCACTTCATTTGCTCCTCGTTCATTTCAGCTGAGCCCACAGCAACATGGTGGCAGCTGCTACGGGACACTATTGTTTCCCTGTCTCCCTTGTGGCTAGGTGAGGCCATAGACAAACCTGTGGCTAAGGAGAAGTGGTAAGTTCTGGGTCGTGCTCTGGGAAAAGAGCATGCGGCCTCTGACTATCTTTGTTTCCATATTTCTTTCCTTTTACATTTTTTTTAAACTTTTGTTATTTTATGTGTATGGGGTTTTGTCTACATGTCTGTCTGTGCACCACAGAGGCTGGAAGAAGGCACCTGATTCCCTTGGGCTGGTGGCTGTGAGCCCCTGTGTGGGTACTAGGAATTAAACCTGGGTCATCAAGAAGAACAGCCCGTGCTCTTAACCTCTGAGGCATCTCTCCAACCTCTCCCCCTTTCTCTAGCAAGACTGAAGACATGGCGATGACCAGTCTTCTTCAGTCAAGAAAAAAGAACTCTCTAGAGATGGTACAGGCCTGTGATAAAAGAGCCTGGGTCCTGGATGCTCTCTTGAAATAGAACTGCCTTAGTCCCCCGGGACTGGGGCCTTCTCTCTCATTGGAGCTGCAGTCTCTTTTAGTACTTGTTAAACCAATCAAACCAGCATCTTACCACATACTCTGTGCTTCCTAAGCAGCGTGGTTTTACAAGCTCTGGAGTACCAACTATTTTCTCTCTTTCACTCCGAAGACCCTTTGGACTTATCCATTTAAAATTCAGGCCTTTAATCCTAGGGCTCTTTGGGCTTGGCATGATGGCTTCCCACCCATTATTTTCTTACTTGGGTGGACGGCTGTAGTCTAAATATACCATGTCCCAAACAGAACCGTAGCTACCTTCTCCCCTGAAACCAAGAGCTATGATTTCCAGTTTCAAAGAATAGCAAGCAAACATTTCAATTAGGAAATACATTCCTGTTAACCTTCGGGGTTTTCTCCAATAAAGACATGTCTCATCCCTTACCAATCCTTCACCGACATGCTCTTTGTCATCAGCTTCCTGAGCGCACATCTTAGACATTTATTACTAAGCCTCAGATGAGTTTTCTTCCCACAACTTTCAGAACGAGTCAGCTTTCGGCTCCTAGAGAAGCGCTTGCTGGTCTTGCTCCCTCCATATGAGGTTATTTGCTGTGTGGGTTTCTCCCTGAATGTCCCTGAACGCTTGTTTTTTCTGTACCTCTAGCTTCATCGGGACACCCCCATCTCCTCTGTCTCTGTCTTTGTGTGTGTGTGTGTGTGTGTGTACCTCACTGTAGTGTGCAATCTATTTTCTCTTACAATCACTTTTGGATACCAGATTGCTATTCTGAGCTTTCTTTCCCAGGATCACCAGGCGGGAGACTTGAGTTGATGTTAATACCATTGCTGTTTCTAAGAAACCTCCCACCGAGGCGCGAAATTCTTATTCGTGGAATTGCTTGGGGTTGCAGAATTAGATACAGCAAACTGGATGAGTTTTTGCTGCCGCCGCCACCACCAAGGCAACATGATAACACAACTAATAAGAAAGGAAATGATTCGGACTTGCCATGTCATTATGGCCTTATGAATCACACAGAGGCACCTGTGCTTTCTCCTGTGGAAGATGTGCTTAGCACTGTTATTCTGTATCTTTTGCCTGACTGGCAGAGAATGTTCCCCAGCAGGTGAAGAGGAACATTAAGCTCCCTGGCTGTCACATGTGTCCGTCACCTAACATTACCATGGCTGTGGGTCTGGACTCCCATCGAAGGCTCTCCTGTAGGTAGTGTCGCTGCTCCCTTCCTCTCACCTCACCTATGTCTCAATATTTGTCTTAGTTCCAAGTTCCTACTACTTACCTTTATAAAGCCAATTCTGACTCGGGATCCTTTTGGTCCTACCTGTGATGCTCACTACCTAGCCACACAAGACTATATTGGATGCCAACCCCACACCCATCTAGTTACAAAACCTGGAATGTCCCACCTGGTGGGGCAACCTTTTCTGAACAGATATACTTGTATACCTGGGGGTCTTCATCTTTCTCTGGCATCGGACCAAAGTGATTTAGTATCCGATTCTTGAGCGATGTTTTGAGTGAATGAAACCAGGAGGAGGCTTGCTCATACACACAGTTATGCAGCCCCATGAGTTCGGCACGGTCTTCTCCCTCAACCTGCAAATATCAAAATGCAAGTGAGGCAGTCTCTGCCTTCTCCACCCACCTCACAGTTGCTTTCGGAACCCGACCCTCTTTTGAGACTCTGACCTGCCTTTCCTTTCCCCTTCTGGCTCTCTCCTCGGTCAAAGGTGGAACACCCAGCAGCCAGGTGCTGCACGGGGTACGAATATGGTAGAAGAGCAGGAAGACGGAAGGTTTAACTGAGAAAAATGCCCGAAACAGCAGGCAGAGAGACAGCAGTGGGAAGCTTGAGCTAGCCCAGGTGACGGCATATGAGTGATGTGCACTGGGCTGCTTTATGCCTCTGCCCCTTCCAACTTTATGTCCTTTTCTTCCCTACTCACTGGGAAGGGGGGATACGGCTGTATCTGTGCCTCAGCACATCCTCAAGGCCAAATGAATTTATCCATTCATCATGCATCAATCTACGACCTAAGTTATACAAATGAGCATGGGATTACTGACCTCTTCCTCTACCCCTTAGCTCAGGGTATATGACATTTTGCTTTTACTTTTGGGGACGCTGAATGACTCTGAGGTAGGAACACAGTTCTTAGGCAGGTTGGACGTTTTAAAAAGGAATTTCTATTGGAATCTACAATCATCTTAAAAAAAATGCACTGGAAAAATATAAATCAAGCCGTAGTTAAAATGCTTATGTGTACACCCCATTCTACACCGAGCCCCCAGGGGGAGGGAAAGGGGGAGGGAGGGCTTTGGGTGCCGGTGGGCAGCTGCCCAGTAGCATTCATTCATCTAGGACCACTTTGGTGAGAAATCCCAAGGCGCCAATCCAAGTCTGAGAAACCCCTTCGCAATCATCGTTGTATACCAAGCGACAATCCTAATTTGGCTTTTAGGTTTCTTGACCCTGGCTGCCCTTACCTTCTGATCTTCAATGTATTCGATATCCGCGGTGCTGTAGCCGTCCCGCTGGCCCTGACTGAGCACCCTGAAGCGCCTCTTGCCGATGCTGTCAACCACCGATCGGCCGTCAGCGAAGAATTGGACGTTTCTGATTTCTAGCATGCAGCCGTATTCGGCAAAGCTGGTTATTGGGAATCAAGTCAAGAGAGTGGGTTGCTGATGAGTTCTGCTGTCCTTGGCCTAGACCACCACGCCTAGCACCCTGGGCTGTCTGCTAGAGGACTTCTCTGCCCTGATCTACAACTGTACCGATACGTCAGACAGCACCTGTGAGGAGAAAAGATCTGCACAGAACGGTAAACTGACTCTCATTTGTCGATTGCACACTATGTGCATGCAGTGCTTCGGTTTCAGTGTTTGTCCCTCTCAAAAGCTTGTGTTGAAATTGAATGGCCATTTTAACACTATTTAAGCGGCAGGACCTTTAAGAAGTGATCAGGCCTTGAAGGCATTGCCCACATGAGTGGATTAATTACTGCAAGAGTGTGTTCATTAGCAAGAGGAGGGTTGGACTTCCCTTCTCTCCCTTCCTCCTTGCCTTTCTACCAAGATCTTATCACATCCTGGGCATGAGAGCATATAATGATAGTCCTAGCCACAAAAGAGGCTGTTGGCAAGTGAACCACAAATTTGAGGTTGGCTTAGGCAACTTAGTCCTACCTGGTCTTAAATGAAATAAAATAGGCTTAGGATATAGTTCAATGGTAGAATACCTTCTGTGGTAGTCTGAACGCAAGGATGGCCCTTTTAAGCTCATATGGAATGGCACTATTGGGAAGTGTGGCTTTGTTGGAGTAGGTATGGCCTTGGTGAAGGAAGTGTGGCAAGGTGGAGGTGGGCTTTGAGCTCTCCTATGTTGAGGATATTACCCAGTGTCTGAGTCTACTTCCTGTTGCCTTCTGACCAAGATGTCTGCCTGTTTGCTCTCGTGTTCTTTCATGACCATAACGGACTGAACCTCTGAACTGTAAGTGAGCCACCCCAGTTAAATGTTTTCCTTTATAAGGGTTGCCATGGTCATGGTGTCTCTGCACAGCAACAGAAACCCTAACTAAGACACCTACCTAGATTCTGGGTTCAGAAAAAGAAAAATTACTGTTATTAGATGCTGGCACATTGGCTGTAGGCATCACAGACTTGATAACTGTAGGCATAAATGTCGATTGCCTGTGGTGGCTCACACCTGGAATCCTAATGCGGGGGAGCCTGAAGCAGAATTGCCATGAGTTTGAGGCAAGTCTGGGCTATACAGTGAGTTCCAGGTCACCTTAGGTTATAGTATGAAACCCTGGCTCAAAAAACCCTATTGCTTATAAATTACTTACTATACAACATTATATTACAGTATCCCCAATGGACATACTTGGATAGGAACCTTGTGTAATGTTTGGAGCCCATCAGCTCTCCCAATAAGCAAGACCAGCTAGGTAGGCATACCATCATGCCCACTTAACACACAAAGAAACTGGAGACAGAAAGGCTAAATGATTTGCCCAACATCAAAGGTAACTCCAAGGCCAGCACTCAAATATTAAAGTGGGTAACTTAGCTCTAGGGCTAACACTCTTTACAAGACAATTTTGTTTGTGTGTTTCTGGGTTTCGCTTGTTTTTGAGACAGGCTCTCGTGTATCGTGGGCTGTCCCTGGACTGCGCATGTAGTCATGGGTGACCTTAAACTTGGTTTTATCTTGTCTCCAACTCACTACTATTGGGATTGTGGGTGTGCAGCACTCCAGGTTTATGTAATGCAGAGGATCGATTCCCAGGCTTTGTGACTGACAGGCAAGCTGAGCTACAGCCCTAACCCACAAGAAAAGTTTTGCAATGTATGGAACCTGCTTAATGAAAGATTACCTCTAGGGTTACTTAAAATAGAACTCATACTATAAAGTAGGTATTAGAGGGAACGTGATCCTCACAGATGTTTGGGTGCTCTGAGCTGGCTAACCTCACGAACTTGGTTGATCCCACCACAAGAAGCCCTCCGAAGTAAAAGGGAAATCCCCTTCTACCTAACTTCCCTGTTTCCTAAGTCTCCTCACTTACCCTCTGACAGGATCTCCAAGGCACATGCCAAACTGCTTCGTGCCTGTCTCAATACATCTCCGAATCATCAGGCGATAACAAGGCTCAAAGATATGCAGGGGACAAGGGACCGTGGGATAGGCCATGGTGCAAATGAAAATAGGCACATTCTTAGTTAAGCTGTCGGGAAGAGAAGATGAGATGGATCTTAAACCAATGGAGCAGAGAACCGACAGGTTGGTCAATGTCACAGCATGTTTCCTTGGAGTAAGACAAGGAGTCATCAAAGTTTAATGGCGGATAGAGAAACACTGAAGTGCACTTGATTCTGTAAGGCAAGTTCCATGATCCAAGTCTGAAAGCCTAAGCTGGCATTGCAGACATTCTAAGTTTGTTGATTAGATCTCTATTACCATAATAGTGTATTATAATACTAATACAGTAATACAGTATACTAATACATAATATAATACTAATATAATACATAATAATGTATTATAATACTAATACCATAATACTATGCTGCTCCTACCTTTCTTCCCTCCCTCTCCCCCTCCCTCTCTCTCATTTGGACCACTTCAGGCATTTTGTTTGAGGCATGAAGAAGAGCACTGACGTTATAAATGCACCCAGCTTTGCAGATGGGCAGTACTGCAAAGTCCTTACATGCGTCTCAAGTTTGCCAAGTCTCTCAGAGACCATTGAGAGCAGACCCAGCTAGGAGGAGTAGCCAGCAAGAGACCGCCAAGACAAATGTAGCCCAGTGATGCTCAAATGCTCATGGACATAAGAATAATGGGGGACCCTTAAGTCTAGATGGCTGTACCAATACACCTTCAGAGATACTGATGCATTCCTTCTGGAATTGCGATGCAGGAATCTGCCTTTCAATAAATACCCTTGAAAATTCACATGGCTCTATGGGGAATCCCCAACTGGGCCAGCTCTTCATAGATCCTGGTCCCCTGAAGCATCCAGTAAAACCGGTGCAGGGACACTACATCTAAAGGGGCCAAGAGATGTAAGACCATCTGTATAAATCCTAAAAGGGGTCCAGTCTGAGATGCCTTTAAACAGAAAGCCCCTCAGTATGTACCCCTATTTATTAGGACAACTTTGCGTGATAGTTGAGAAAAGGACTCAGAGAGGTTAAAACAACCATTCTCAACCTGTGGGTCATGACCCTTTTGGGGGTCAAATAACCCTTTCACAGTGGTTGCATATCAGATACTCTGCATAGCAGGTATTTGCATTATGATTTATAACAGCAGCAAAATTGCAGTTATGAAGTAGCAATGAAAATATTTTTATGGTTGGGACTCCCATGTCATGAGGAACTGTATTAGAAGGTCACAGCGTTAGGAAGGTTGAGAACCACTGGGTTAAAGACTAAGTGAAGGATCAGGAACAAGATAAAACTGTACAGAGCGGTTTCAATATAAAGAAAAAAAATTTTAGTCTCTGAGAAAAACATGTGAAGTGAAGGCACATCCAGACAAATGGGACGCCCAGTTCGAAAGTGATTCTCTTCCCAGGGGGCATAAAAACAGCCGTGATTTTTCCCTCAGGAAGCTGTTTTCCAGCAGAACGCTGTCAGAACTCTTAGGGAGGGCCGGGAGGAGGGCAGCAGCCAGAGGTGCAGGACTTAGCTGTTATTTCCGTTATTTCCTGCTTTTTTGCTAAGTGCATGGCACTCAGAGCCCCGGAAGATCCAATTATGTCTCCATTCCGAGCCTTCCCCTCTCATACTGTGCGGCAGAGAAAATACACAGCGAGTATAGACACTATTGCCTTTTATTAAGTGCTTGCTGTGCAGCAACTCATTTGGGTCTTCAGAATAAGCCCACAATACAAGAGCTATCAGCTTCAAGTCACTGGCAAGGGAACTGAATCCTAGAAAGGTTGAATGGTATGTCCACGACCACGAAACACACTCCCTGATAGAACTGGGCCTTAACCCCAGGTGTGGCTTCACACCGCTGTTTACCCAGCCATCAACCGCTTAAGGACTTGAAGGCATCTCCCAGTTGTCTCATGAGGTCTGCTGATTAAGCTGCCCGTTAACTCAGTCCAGCCCCTATCACGCACTTCCTAGTGCTGAGATGCATCAGGTACCTCTGTGCTTTGCCGCTGAGCTTCTTAGGAGACATACTGGTAAATGTTTAACAACTGCTTCTGAGAGGGATGTGGGGAGGGGCGGGACAATTTGTAGCATTTGTTGACTTCCATGATGCAAATATTCTCCCCATGGCCATGTCAAGCTAGTAACGACATGGCATCATTGAACCATCAGTTGCTAGGCAATGTGTCAGTTTTTGTGAGCGGACACACATAAAACGGAAGCCAGAAACATGCATGAACATACTTAGAAAGTTCTTCCATTTCCTCCTCATGAAGGCGTTTCCGTTCCCTGAGTTCTTCTGGCAGGAATTTAGCAATTAGTTCTTCCATTATTATGTTCTTGCTATACTTTCTTGATTGAAAGCCCTAGAAATGGATCAAAGTAATGAGATATTATACAGTCCACACACACACACACACACACACACACACACACACAAAAACCCACAGACAATCATGTGTAGCCCAGATATAGTTTGATGGAGCCCAGACAGTAGTCAAATCATGCATGTGTTGTAATTTGGACACATAATTTGGAAGCTAATCCAGCCACAATGTATGTATCTTTTGGATGTTAGAGTTTTGATTTTCCTAAAAAAAATTATTCAATTTAACATTAATAATTAAAAATGTTTTAACAAAAAAATGTTGCATTAAGCTTTTGAAAAATCTCACAGATGCCATAAAGCTTTGGATTTGAGAGGTTCATGTCTGAACTAAAGAGGGTGGACCATACTTCCTTTTCACTGTATTTTTGTGTTTACAAACTCTGTCTTGGAAGTGCTGAAACACAAAGGGTCCAGAGAATCAGACAGCTGTGTTCATGTACCCTTTGTTGCCCTGCCCACCTCCATTCCAATCGAATGCCTGGCTCCTAGATATTGCCAAGTCTCCATGTCTTAACTTTAATTAAAATAGAAACCACACATAAACTAATGGCCAAATACAGGTGGTTGTCTTGTTGCCAGTTTATGTCACCATCTTAGTTATCACTGAAACTCAGAATCAGACTTGGGTTAGAATGTCCCTACCATATGCATACCCAGAGATCTAAGGGCAGTATGTCTTTAATAATATGGCCCAAACATTGAATGGTAAAATATCTTCTAATAAAACAGTAAAACCTTAGAGGAGAACTTACTACTTCCACTTTCCTAAAGCAATACAATCTATTTGTAATTGTATTCTAAATACTTATCCTTACACTCACCCCTCACCGAAGAAGCTTCTTTTTGGAGCAGACAAAGACTAGTATAGAAAGTCACAACTGGTCAAAATGTAGATAACAATCCACTGTGGGCTGCTCATCCCCAATTGAACAACCACAACACAATCCCTACATGTAAGGCTCAGGACATCACAGAAGATGGGAACAGAAAAACGGTAAGAGCCAGAGGACCAGGATGTGTGCTTCCTTCTCTATATGCCTGGAAAGTTGTACCCATAAAATCTGAACAATAATACAATTCTCTAAACAAGGCTTGAGCAAATGGCATCCCCAGAAAACCTATTATTTGTGTAATGAGGAAATCCCATGAAGCTACTCCTAGATGAGGAGCTCCAGACAACTAAAGGCTGCTGGGAGGGGAAGGATCCATCTTCCCCAGGGAGAAAGCCGCTAATTGGTCATTTAATATCAGTGATCAGCCCCAAGAGCACATGTGTATGAGCAACACTAACTGGACTCGGAAAGTCGTAGTTATATATTTATATGCACACATATATGAAACACTAGTTAAAAAGAATATGAGGTCACAAAATTGAGAGGGAGTGGGGGGGGACATAGGCAGGATTGGATGGAAGGAGAGAGGGAAAAAGGAAGTAAATACAGCACTCGTGAACTTCTCAAATAATAATAAATAAAAACTTAATATCTGCAGAGAATTGATTGCGGTGGGACTCAGCAGAGGGAGCTCCTAAGTACCGAATTGCTGGCTTCAGACAATTCATTTTCTTTCTTCCCCAGGAGTCTCTATTCAACAACTAACATGGTGGGAATATGTATCATTCTGTTAAGTGGTGTAAGTATAACCCTGGATGAATACAGAGCTAGATGAGAATATCTTCTAGCCTCTGGGTCTGAGATCCCACGGCTTCTGCCTTCTGGATGCCTTATCAAGTACGGCCATTGCATGGCAACAGGAAAAAACCCATAATGTCCAGTCCCAGGTTTTAGGGGAAAGCAGTGCCTCAAGAGGTAGGCAGTCTACGTGGGAAAGGGATCCCTCTGCTGATGCTAAAACAAAACTCCAGGAAGCGGACACCCTAAAATGGTAACAGCGCTTTTCTCTAGAGCCTGAGCATATGGTAGATGTTTCTCCTTCTGTTGGTGTGAACTTTGTGGTGTTAACTAACACAGCATGGATATCTCATTTAAATAGAAGAACCATGAGAATCTTATCTACAATCAGGTTGTGAATCCCATGTCTTTATCTAAGTGAAGCTATTCCGTTAGCGGCTTCCCATTCTCCTTCTCAAGGCTACCCTGGACGATGGCTTTGCTCTAGCTCCTTTTTGTCAATGTCAGAGGTAAGAGAGGCTCAGCATGCACTTCTGTGGGCCTATAAGAACCTATAAATGGAGGGGGGGGCTGGAGAGATGGCTCAGAGGTTAAGAGCATTGCCTGCTCTTCCAAAGGTCCTGAGTTCAATTCCCAGCATCCACATGGTGGCTCACAACCATCTGTAATAGGGTCTGGTGCCCTCTTCTGGCCTGCAGACATACACACAGGCAGAATATTATATACATAATAAATAAATAAATATTTATAAAAAAAGAACCTATAAATAGTCACTTTTCTTCATGAGACAAGGTCTATCCTGGGTGACTCAGGTAGACATTGAACTCACAATGCCACTGTCTCAGCTTCCCAAATCCTGGAACTACCAGCCTGCATTGCCATTCTCTAGAGACAACCCACCCCCTGCGGCCTCTTTTCAGGGATGATAAGGGGAAAGCAACAGTAATACTGTTTGTAAGCTGAGATCCTCGAGTCTCCGAAGGAAGGAAAGCAACATATATCTCTTTCTTTTGCTATAGGAAAGCCCATAAGACCCACATGAAGATATACGCTTGCATCATTAATTTTGATGACTCTCAAGTCCTCAAAGCTTGACAAGTATCTGCTGATAAGAGCGGTGGCTCCCGAGGAGTGGCTCCCGAGGAGCTGTCGAAAGACCACATTGACATCTGAGATGGTTCTCTGAGCAGGTGGTGGCTGGGGCCTACAGCAGCTGACCTCTTTAAGCATAAGTAAACATCACTGTATGCCGAAGTCAGAGCTATCTAGTTCAAGGATAGTGGAAGCAAAATTCACTCAAGATTATTGTTTATGCCATGCCACAAAGGGACCAGAACCAAGATTTGTGTTTATCGTCTAGTTCATGTTTTTGCTTCTAACACAAATGAACTTCATTACTGAGAGTTATTGAAAAGCTAGATGTTGCCTCATTTTCCTGAAGGACTTTGTGGAGAGAGGAAGGATGTTTAGGAGACAGCAGAAATAAACAGATGGTGAGGGGGGAGATGGGGGGAGGTATTTTGGCCAAGCACAGTACAGTGGCTTAGGACCCAGTTGAGCACTGAGTTAGTACAAAATAAGCTAACACAACCGAGGAAGAAAGAGCGGTTTACCTGGAAAAGAGAATCTTTGCACAGTGGACACTTCGCGTTATGATCCAGGCATCTCTCAAGACACTTCATGCAAAAGGTATGCCCACAAGATGTTGTGACTGGCTCATAGAATAATCTGAAATTTAGCGAATGAAATAGAAGAAATTTTAATGAGATTTCAAAATAAAAGATAGGGGCATTCATGGTTAAGTGTTCACAGAACTCTTTATCCAAACCTGAGGGAGGGCACTCTGTGTGTCTTATCACCAGCATTTTCCTTTTCATTCCTGAACTAGATGTAGAAAGATGCAGAGCTTCATATTTAGGGCATAACCAAATCATTTTGTAACATTAGTTCTAGCCTTTTCCTGTCTGGTCTAAGAAAAATTCAGATTAGTGCTCAGAGTGTCTGAACAGATTCCATTATTAAGAAAGTATTTGGCCAACCTGTTTACCTGAGTATACTGTAAGCACACAGATACGCACGGAGAGATAGCCACATGCATACACACACATAGACCCTGTATACCATATTACTATGGGGAAAAACTCAATTTGTTTGCTAACCTTTAATTTTTTCTTCATTTAAGTGACATTTGGTGCCTGAAGGCTCTTACAACTGTAACAAACATGCGCCTCTCTCTTGTGTGGATAGACAATTTTCCTAGCAGTAGTAAGTAATATGCTAACGCATTTACTCCTATTAATAGACATGTAAAATATGTGCCTATATCTACTTACATTCTTACAAATAAAAGTATGTTTATATGTACCATATTCCTAATAGATCTTATTGCTTTCAGAAGGGAGAATTTTTTGTTTTGTTTTGTTTTTTGTTTTTTGAGACAGGGTTTCTCTGTGGCTTTGGAGCCTGTCCTGGAACTAGCTCTTATAGACCAGGCTGGTCTCGAACTCACAGAGATCTGCCTGCCTCTGTTTCCCGAGTGCTGGGATTAAAGACGTGCACCACCAATACCCAGCAGGAGGATATTTTTAAATCAATCTGGGGAAACTGGGGACCCTTAATAAAAAGTATTCTACACATTCAGAGGTGCACAGATTTACTTTGTGTAAAGAGAGGTTCACCTGAAGCAGGACCAAGAGTTAGGGGACAGCTGGTGGTGACTATTAAGTGTGGCTCAGCCGGACGATGGTGGTACACACCTTTAATCCCAGCACTCAGAAGGCAGAGGAAGGCGGATCTCTGTGAGTTCGAGGCCAGCCTGGTCTATAGAACAAGTTCCAGGACAGCTAGAGCTGTTACACAGAGAAACCATGTCTCAAAAATAAATAAATAAATAAATAAATAAGAGGAGGAGGAGGAGGAGGAGGAGGAGCAAGTGGCTTTTACATTGAGAAAGATGAGACAAATCTTGGCCAGCTTCTTTTGACTTCCCAAGAGTGTTCAATTTAGAGCAAGAGGTTGTGAGCCTCGTGGTATATGGTATCACACATATTTAATTAGAGGTCAATAGAAGATGTCAATGATTTGAGAAGGAGGAAGGAGACACAGGAGGAGTTGGAGGGGGAAAGGGAGAGCTGAAAATAATGTAAATACAGGACTCAGATATGATAGTCTCAAAAAATCAATTAGAAAAGAACTGTAAACATTTGGTGCACCTCAATACATCCCAATGAGTTATTTTATTGGTTGATTTGTTTGAGGAAAAACTTGGCAAGCAACTTTCTAAATGCAATAAGGAAATGCAAAGGGCTGAGAGCCAAGACACATCTGAAGAACAAGGATGTGGGAGGACTTGCTTTACTAAGCATCAGAACTTATTATAAAGCTACGATGGTTAAAACAGTATGTACCAGCACAAGGAAAAATAGAACCATAGAACAGAATAGAAAGCTCAGGAATAGAACCAGGCATGGATTCTTGACTTATGACAAATGTGACATTTTCAAACAGGGCCACGGGAGGGTTTGAAAGCACAAACAATCTGTATAAAGGTTAGAGCGGCTATCTGGACAGAGACATGAAAGTGGGCCATCTTTTATACAACACACAAAAATCAATTCCAGGTGATGTGAAAAAAAAAATAAATCTGAAAAGAAAAACAACTTCCAGAACATAAAATCGGAGAACAATGTTGATGAAACAGAGATTGAAAGTAGAGAAAACTCGAAGAAACACTAACTATAAGTGAGAAGATCACTAATTTCAACTGCACTAAGATTAAGAATTTTTAAGTGCTGGGCGATGGTGGCGCACGCCTTTAATCCCATTACTTGGGAGGCAGAGGCAGGCGGATCTCTGTGAGTTCGAGACCAGCCTGGTCTATAGAGTTAGTTCCAGGACAGGCTCCAAAGCTACAGAGAAACCCTGTCTCAAACCCCCCCCCAAAAAAAAAGAATTTTTAAGTTCATCTAAACGCATAACTAAAAGGGCAAAGGGAAAGTGCTTGCCATGCTCAGGTAAGAAAAAGCTTGTATCTAAAATATACCTAGAACTTGTAAGAAAAACACACCCAAAGCAGTAGGGAAAACCAATAACATAGTAGAAAACCAGGCAAACACTGGCACACGCAAAAACAGTGGCCATCCGTGATATTTCTAAACTAGAGCCAGCCCAGCTAAGTACCCATCTAGAATAGAACGAGGAGACTGTGGTACACTCACACAATGAGACGCTGTGCGCTAATGAAAATGAACAAACCACTTACATGTTGATACGGACTTTAAAAGAAGCAACCAGACTGAAGAAATATATTAAAATTCAATCTAAGTTTTACAATTTAGGCCAAATCAGAGTATACCATTTACAGCTGCAAATACACATGGCGAACTTATAAGAAGGAACAAACTAGAACTCAAGAGTGTAGCTTGGAGGTTACAGTAGTCACTTTTATATTGCTGCGAGAGAACGCCCTGACCAAGGCAACCTTTATAGAAGAGACAGTTTCTATGAGGCTTATGGTTCCAGGAGGTTACAGACAAAGTGGCTGGAGCTGGAAGCTGGAACCGGATAGCTCATCCTTCAGACCTCCAACAGGTAACACAGAGGGTGATCTGGGGGTGTTAGGTTGGAAAACTCAATGCCTGCCGCCAGGGATGCACCTCCTCCAGCAAGGCTACCCGAAGTAAGCCTCTCCAAACAGGACCAGCAACTGTAGACCATACAAATGCCTGAAACCACCGTAGGAGTTGTTAAGTATGGTCCTTTGCGAAAAGGCATATGGACAGTTTCTGCGGTCCTGCTGAGGTCTTACTCCTCTTGCACCAAGTGGTTACATGAGTCTTTACAATCTTTTCTTCAGAGCATATATATTTTGCAATACAACATGGCTTTCTGAAGTATGATTTCAGGGCTGATTCAAGAACCATCGAGTTGATCAAACCACAACTGCCAAAATAGAATAATTATTTCTTGAATACTCGAATTCTGTGAATTTGACTGTTATAGGGTGTGTGTGTGTGTGTGTGTGTGTGTGTGTGTGTGTGTGTGTGTATGTATGTATGTAAATAAAACCCAAGGCCTTATACAAGTAAGGGGAGTGTTCTATCACTAACCCACATCTCCAAATCTTTGTTTGTTTGGGCTTTTTTGTTTCTTTGTTTGTTTGCATTTTTTAATTTTCGAGACAGGATTTATCTACGTAGCCCTGGCTGTCTTGAACCCACTTTGTAGATCAGGCTGGCCTTGAACTCACAGAGGTCTGCCTGCCTCTGCCTCCCCAGTGCTGGGATTAAAGGAGCGCCCCACAACTACCCATTCTTTGTTGTTTGTTTGTTTTTTTAAGATAAGGTCTTTTTCTATAGCACCATTAGCCTAAGAGCACTGGCAAGCCTCTTGCCTCAGTTTCTTGCTCACTGGGATTAGAACTATGTGCTGCCTCCCCTAGATTCCTCACCCCTGCTGTTTCTCGGGGGCGGGTTCTCACTCTGTAGCTCAGGCTGGCCTGTAACTCCTAATTCACCTGCTTCAAACTTCTGAGTATTGGTATTATAGGCATATACCTCCAGACTCACGATATCTGAATACTTTTACATATTATTGATTATACATATGAGGATGATTGATAAATTCTATCTACTGCTAATATACAAAACCATTTTTTCTTGAGAGCTTGATGATTGAGACTACTCCTCTTTTAAGACCATAATTATATTTATCCTGCTGTATTTATGGTTGTGCGCAACACTATTTTTCATTAAAATTTACTTTATATATTAATAAGTGGCAATTATGATAAACTATTTTTCTGCTGAGGAAATTAAACTGCAAGCAGACGAAATAACATGCCCAAGATTACAGAGCTAGCTGGTAGACAGAAAGCTTGGGATGTATAATCAAATCTGACTCCACAATTAATCTTCCTCTTTCGGTCTACAAGACAGCTAGGACTACATGTGCCCTTATATTCAACTGCATTCCAGCCATTCAGCCGACATCTGCCCGCACAAGTGCACTTCCACAAACACTTTGCTCCTTCCCTTTCTGCCACTCACCCTCCTCCCTCTGCTCTGCAGAGAGAGACACACAAAGCGTCTTACCTACGAAGAGAGAGAGGCATATACTGGGACGTCTGTCCTTTTTGCACTTTAGATAAGGGTTTTGAAAACACTTCAGGGAGACAGCTTTAAATCAGAGCAGGGCTGGCTTGTCTCACAAGAAAGCATTTCACATTATCAGAGCGATGTGGTAAACAATAGTAAGAAAAAAATGCCTTCCCTTAGATGTCAGTCCAGATAAAACGTCTGGCTTATCTGCAAAGAGCTATCTTTCCCAACCAGTGACAGCCTTGCACTGTGTTCTTTTGCTATCAGCTTACAGCAAAGAGAGAAAAAGAAGCGGGAGGGAAAGAGAGAAGGAAAGGAAAGCAAACTACCTTAATACCCAGTGACTTAGGGAGCTATAACAAGATTATATTTAAAACGGATCCTTTTGCTCATCGCCTGTGTCACTATGCCACCAGAGAACTAGTTCAGATAGCAAACAGTCTCATTTCATATCTCAAAATACAGAATTATACAGAAGCCCAGAGATGAGCCCCAATGGCTCCAGCGATGCGTGCCAGATAAACCTCAAGGAGAATTTCATGCCCCTAATGATTGCAGGGCAGGATTCTGAGATGTGGGGGTCATTGGGGCAGACTTCCCTTAATGGAGTCCTTCCAATTCAGCAGTGTTGACTTGAAGACAGAGAAAGGGTTTCGTTTAGGTACTCTCCAATTACTCTTCCACTTTTTAGAATAATAGGGCCTCCTGTAGCCCAGAATGGCCTTGAACTCACTATGTAGCCAAAAAATTCACCCTCCCCACATGGACGTCCCAAGTGCTGGGATTGCAGTGTGTGCTGGCTGCTCCCCCTGGCCTCCACTCACACTTGCCACCCTTTCCGAACTGTGAAACTTACCACCCAATCTATTTCCTCTCTCGAATCAAAACGTATAAATTCATGCTTTGTCTCCCCTTTCTCCACCAGGGCTTAGATTTCAGTCTAGAATCTTGGACAGGTAGTACAAGTGTCAAATTCACACCCAAGCAGCTTGAAACTACCTGTGATTTTAGACCCGTGACGGTTAATACCCATTGCCAACCTGATGGATCTAGATTCACAAAGAGAGAACCCTCCAGGACACTTGTGAGAGATTGTCTACGTTAGTCGGAGGTGGAAAGACCCATTTGAACTGTGGGAAGTGCCATGCATGGCCTGGGCTGGGATCTTGACTGAAAAGGAGCCAGTGAGCTAAGCAATGACATTCCTCAGGGCTTGTTTCCTGTGTATTAGGAACTCAATGTGAGCTAGAGGCAGGGCTCCTGATCTTACAGCCACACTTTGCCCACCTGCTGTTAGGCCTGCCTCACCATGAGAGAACCAACCCGCCAAAGGCAAGCCAGAATAAACACTTCCTCCCTGAAATTGCTTCTTGTCAAATATTTAGTCAGAGCAACAAGAAAAGTAGCCAAATACAAAGCCGCTCCTCCAAAGACACACCAGGGCCAAAACAAAACCCACCAACAATCGTGACAAAAATACCAATGGCTACAAGTGGGAAAAGGAACTTTTGAAGCTTAGAAAACACAGGCGAGGGCATCCACACTAAAGAAATTCCGTCGGCATCTGATGTGGAACTTCCAGACCGAGCCTGTTGGAAGGGAAGCTGCATGTCTCTTCCCAACCGCTGAAGTGTTAAGAGCTTCTAATCAAAAAGTCCTCTAGGCTAGCCAGGTTCCTTACACCATAAGACAGCGAGAGTCTAGCTATAATTTAGTAGCCTACATAACAGCTAGCTACTCTGGGCAAAGAAGGAACAAGGGGTCAGAAAGAGGGACACAGTGGCTTTTAAGCTTAGGGGGTGTGAACTAGATGGGGTGCTTATCCTCCATGTGTTTATTTCTTGAACCAGATTCCTAACTCTTCTACAAAGTCCCTTGTGGTTAGGGACAAAGAAGATGAAAGAGGAAAAGAAAAGGAAGACGAACAAAAGAATTTCAACCTCAGGATTTTGATTCCACAGGGAAAACACAAACAGGATGAGTCTGTATGTTTGATTGTGGCTCACCCGGGTTTTGGCAGGAGTGTTAAGGAGGGTTAAGCAGAACAAAGACCTGCTCTTTCTGAGGAAGCCAAATTAAATCTACTTCACAGTGCCTATCATGGGCTTTAAAGCCACTGATTCAGGGGGTACTGAAGCCCTTCTCGGCTTGAAAGCAGGTTTTTGCTGTCTCCTACCTTGGTTTAGCATGATGCACTTGCCTCTCTGCTGTGAGGGGTGGGATCCGCTTCTACCGTTCATCACACTCTTGTCTACACCACCTAAGCGGACTCCTGACTGTGTTTGCAGCTTAGTTTGATGACTGGCTAAGACCTGTCTATGCTTAAGAACAAATCTTGCTACGACAGATTTTTTTGTGTATTATTATTTTACTATTATTGTTGTGATACTGATTATTAAATCCAGAACCTCATGAATGGTAGCCAAGTCCTCTCCCACTGAGCTACTCCCCTAGACCCAAGTATATTTTCTCAAAGAAAAGTCTATGTTTTAGGTAATAGTTAATTCTTAATCAGATGATTAAGAAAAGTCATTCAGAATATAAACTCACATGACCAATAGGAGAGGAATAAGCTCGCAAAGGACAGGCAAACATTTGTTCAAGTGTCTCAGTTCTTTCTTAATACTTTTGGAGAAAGTCACCTCATTTGAGAATCTAATGAATGCTATGTGCTTTCCTCTTAGAAATATGCACAGCCACACACACACACACACACACACACACACACACACACACACACTTTTGCTTATTACTTTAGTGAATTCATGGATCTATTTGAATATACACAAAGAGCTTCCTCGGAGGTCTATGGATCTAACATGAAAGACCTCTGGGTAAGAAGAAAAAACTGTTAATTTTTTGAGTACTCTCTGTATTCCAGACACTACTCTAGGCATTGAATAGTTTTTCTTAATCAGTCATCACAGCTCTGGAATTCACTGCCCTGTTTTCTACTTTACTAAAGAAAAAAGAGTGGCAGAGAATGTCACTTGCTCTAGGACAGAGTCTGTAGGTGGGAAGAGCTAGGGTCCCAACAGTGGCTTCAGAGCCCTTTCTCTCAGCTACTACGCCACAGCTAGGAAATGAAATAAACTATTACATTTCAAAGTGGTGACCAGACCACATCAGAGAATCTTTCTATATGGATAATCTGCTCTTTAGAGCCCCGAGGAAGTATAGATAACATACTAGTTGGAAGGAAAATGCTTGACCAAGAATCATACTTACTGTTCTTTAGACAGCATAAAATACACACCAGTGTAGGCTTCTCTTTGGTTTCCAAAGAAAATGTTTATGGCATTGATATTAACCCTTGAGTCCTTAATGTAGCAGCTTAGATTCAGGGTCACAAGTTCAAATACCTCGAAGGCTCGAGCAATAATGTGAGACAGGCTGGGATAAGTTCATGGGATCATGACCAGCGGGCAAGTGTATGCCCTGTTTCTGTACAGTCAGTCATAACAACATCAGATCTAATGAGGACCAAATAGACATGTTCTGCTTATGGCCTATCAGTTTTTGACCTTTTTTGCTTTGCCACTCCCCAGATCTTTTGACATCACGATTTAAGGATGTAAAGAACACCATTTGTAAGCTGGGGACACCAGCGTTCTCGTGACCATGTGATTCCCATCTCATCTGGGCCATGATTTTACATACTAACTAACTCAAGAGTTACTAGTGGGAAAGGCCCAACCACCAAAGAGAAGGAACTAGCAGACAGTTAAGTGATGACCCAAGTCACATACCTCATACACAGTGCGCATTCAAGGTCAGTCACATCAAGGGATGTAAGCCGAATACTGAGATCAGGTTTGGCCCCCTCATCAGCAGGGTGATCTGTGATTTAGAACACAGCAAGTCAGAGCAGCATCAACTTGGTTTTACAGATAAGTACTTCTGAGTGAAAAAAAAAAGTTTTCAAACTTCCCCCAGAGTTTAATTTGGTGGCTGCCTGAGCAATTGCCAGGCATTCCCTAAAGTGGACTTCCAGGGGGTGTTTGAGCAGTCTCCATAGACAGAAGGCCAAGGCTAGAGCTCCTGATGAGCATTCAAATTCATTAGCAGCAGTGGCAACTCCATGGAGTGAACCAGGTCTTCAAAGCTCACACTTAATCTTGGAAAGATAAGGGAGCCTGCTTCTCAGAACACAACTAAGTGAGACAAAACCACACCTTTCCCATCCTACATTACCAGACCAGGGATGAGGGCAGGAAATGGTCGGCCTGGAAGAAAGTGACATGACGGAAAGCATGGGATGGTGTTACTTGATGGGGTACCTACCCCCGATTGTCTTGACTACGGATGCTAATTATCACCTGGCACATTCCCGTGTGGCGGCTACCCAGCACATTCAGAGAAACCTCACAGCAACCCCTGGGATTTAACAGCTGGTGAGTGCCAGAGCTAGGTCACAAACTCAGAGCCAGAGGTTCCCCCCTCCCCCCCCTAAAAAAAACGAGGGAAACTACATATGTCAGTGAGCCCAGTCATCTGCATTAAGTTCCTTTCTCCATGGGTGGAATTAGTACCTTGTTTGGGGACTTTATTAGGCACATCCGGGTCTTCTTGGTCTTCATCAACTTGGCAATGGTTCCTTTTCTTTTCCTGGCATTTGCCGGTCCTGATGGAGGCAGCATTGCGCTTCTCTTCTTCCTGATCTTTTCCTTTGTCCTCTTGACTCCCCACCTTTACTTGAGCTGAGTTCTTCAGGCTGCTGCTTTCTCCCTGAGCTGTTGCTTCCTCCTGACTTGAACAGTGTGGAAGCTCTGGGCTTTCCTAGATGAAGCAAAAGCCAGATATCAGAATCGACTAGAGACCAATATCGTCCTCCAATATTGTCCCCTGAGGGGACAAAAAAGGAAACAACATAATTCTGCTCTTCACTCCTGAGCTCTCAGTGGATACATAACTCAATGGAGGGCCAGTCATGGGGCTTACTGCTCACACCCAATCTATGTCAAAGACTTGCCTTGCTTAAATAGAGTTAGGGGACTTCCCTAGGCACGGCCAAAAGGCACATGGGAGGAAAAGCTTCCTGGGCAGGGGAGAAAGGGGACTGTAAGGGAAGGCACCACTCTTCCCTCTTATCCAAATCACTCCCCAGTGGTCTTCGAGGAAAGGAAAGCATTCTGTGAGGGGTATCCTGTTACCGGATACTTCCTCTCACCCTTGCCGTCATTCATAGCCATTCTTCAAAGGACTTTAGGAAAGGCTTTGGGGCCAGCTCTGTACAGGCCTTCCAAAGCAGCCCATGCTCCAGGGCTGTATGCTAGTTTCATCAAAGGAGCAGGGGACAATCCATTCCTTTTCCTCAATTTTGGGTGAAAAGTCTGAAAAAGAGACATAATAGTTTGGCATACTAGCTGGTCTCTAGCCTTTTAGAGAATTTGGTCCACTAGGAAGGTACTGGGAAGAGGAACTAGAAGTAATTGCAAAGATGTGCTTATGCACAGTGCTCCGGAGAAGCTCTCTTCTGCAATCGGAATCAATATTTGACAGCAAAAGGCTCACTTTCCGTGTTTCTCCTCTACCCTTGCCAGCAATCCTAGTGGACACAGGCGGGAAGAAACAGAAGTGGAGAGGAAAGGAGAGGATGTGGCTTTTCTCATCCTACATCCCAGGGGTTCTCAAGTGCTAAATTAAATAACAATACAGTCTTGACTTTCCATTAGCCCAGAGCACTGTCCACATAAGACCCCAAGGCCTTGCAAAACAATGCTTGGGTGAAAATACACTTGCTGCTCCCCAGTCTGCTCACGTTGGAAAGCCAGAAGCTCTGTTTCCTTCATTTCAGACTGAGTGGCAAGTAGAATTCCCCACTGCAGACCCTGGGTCCTCGTGTTAGCTGCCTTAGTCATCACTAATGACCACTGGGGACTCTCTGATTTCAGGAGATATTCCAAGTTCTGCCTTTACCAAGAAAAACCAGCCGCCATGCGTTTTATTCCTTCTCTAGAGCAGACACAAAAACTGGGAAGAAGTGAGCATCCAGGGCTTATATACAAGTGAGGAACTTCAGGCACAAATGGAAACTGCTCCCCAAAGGTGCCCAGCAATTCAATGTTAAATCTTGCTTAAAGTCTGGTTTTTTTTTGAGCCCCAACTTCTGCCCACTTACCCTGTGCTAGAAAGGCCAGCTCCTAATGCCCCAACCCTCTGCATTCGGTTCCCTTGTTTTCAAAGAAAACTACAAATACTTGTCTTCACTCTCAAGTCAACTCTCGCACCTCTACTTTGCTAGAAATGTGCATGAGAAGCCTACTTATATGGAAGGCATGGTGCAAGAACAAGAAATTCCCTCCATTTGCTCCCCAAATGGAGTCACCCTTGCACAAAACTCTCACTGGTGCTCAAAGGCCATCAGCTTGAATGTGCCCCAAAGCTGAAACCAATAAGCACACCCCAATTACGGGGTTCCAAGGGAAGTGGGCCAATCTCTTTATACTTCTATCAAATCTTTCTATTTCCAGATCTGACCAAGACTACAAATAAAGTAACCAATAAATCAACTTTTGGAGCATGCCTGAAATTCCCAGTTGTAGCTTTAAGCAAAGGACACAGCCATTATCGACTACATGTTTCTTTTTCACTCAGGAACCAAAGTAGAAGAGGTAGGGCTCACTTCTCGTGTGCCCACAAAAGAGCCAAACGAAGTATCATGAGCGAGCTGGGTGAGTTGAGTTTTACCTGTGACAACTTTGGTAGATTATGGCTGGTGCCTTCAGTAGCCATTGACTCTACGTGTTCCTTTAATCTAGGGTGAGGTGCCAACAGCTTCAGGATATCGGGAGAATGTTCCTGAGACTCCCCCGGGACTGATGGTGAAAAGAGACTAAAGAGAAGCTGTGACATAAAACAGAAGGACTTCACTACTCAAGTTTCTACAGGTGCTAGACTAAGGTGAAGGGGGAGGGATGGGGGACGAGAGAGCACAGCTTGCAAGGCAAAACTCCATTGAGGAAGCCTTGGAGCGGTGTCCCTAGACACACTAAGGAGAGGTTGTTGCATCAACACACATCAATATCATCTAGGAGCGGGGGACAGGGATACAAGAAATCACTTAGTTATTAAGAGCACATACTGGTTTTGTATGAAGATCCAAGTCCGATTCCCAACACACATGTAAGGTGGCTCACGATCACCTGTAAGTCCAGCTCCAGCGATGGCGGACACCTCTGACACCCAGAGGTGTCAGTACTCATGTGCAAATACCCACACACAGATTCAAACACATACACATATTAAAAAGTAAAATACATGTATTTTTTATCAAATAAGTCACCTAGGAACTCATGAAAATGTTGGTTCCTGGGTCCAGCTCCAGTCCCCCAAGGTCTGAAATATGACCCAGAGAAGGCAAGGCAAATGCCTTTGTTATAATGCCTTTGTTATTTAACCAAGGTTAAGAGCCACCTCTATGGTGCCACCATTTTGCAGAAATACCTGCAATGGAGCTTGTAAATCTGTCTGAACCAAAGGAAACATAGGAGTTAAGTCAGAAGAGATGCCTGTACTGGTTAGTGGGGTTATTTTGTTTTGTTTTGTTTTTCATTTTTCGTTGTTTGTTTTTGTCAAGTTGATAAAAACTAGGTCATCCTGGGAAGAGGGTGATTAAATTGAGAAAATGCCTACATCAGATTGGCCTGTAGGCAAGTTTGTGTAGGTATTTCCTTGTTTAATGGTTAATGCAGGAAGATAAGCACCCTCTGGGGAGTGCCACCCCTGGGCAGGTGCTCCCAGTATGTCTGAGAAATGTAGCTGAACGTGACCCTGAGACACAAGCCAGTAAGCAGATTCCTCCAGGGCTTCTGCAGGAGTTCCTACCTCCGAGTTCCTGCCGTGAGTTCCTGCCCTGACTTTCCTCAGTGACAGACTGCAACCCAGAATGTGTAAAGAAAGAAAACCCTCTCTTTCCTAGGCTCCTTTGGATCATGGAGTTTACCATAGCAATAGCAAAGCAAACAAGACAGCTTAGCTGAAGAATACAGAGTCAAGCCCGCAGCAGCTTCGTGGGCAGAGAGGTCCACAAATCTACACTGGGTTCCTTATTGCTGTTTTTCTCCGTCTGTCTGTTTCGAGTCCCCCATCATCACACCTGGATTTTTTTTAAATCCCTTCAGAGCTGGGGACCTGAGTGATTAAATGTTAGGACAGCAGAGCTCAGACTTCCTCTCTCCTTTCAGCCTCTTCCTCTCCCTGGTCATCTCTGTATAAAGTGTCAGGTTCGCCTCCAATCGGATATACCGATGAGGGAGAAGTTGAGTAGAAGGAAAGGGTCTAGGAGACAAAGGAACGCAGTTGAGTGCAAGCTGCAGCGTTAGTTGTTCACATTCTTGCTTCAGTTCTCACCTGTGCCAATCAGGGGTCAGGGACTGTATGTAAGTATCTATCTATCTATCTATCTATCTATCTATCTATCTATCTATCTATCTATCTATCTACCTGTGCATGTGTGTGTGTGTGTGTGTGTGTGTGTGTGTGTGTGTGTGAGAGAGAGAGAGAGAGAGAGAGAGAGAGAGAGAGAGAGAGAGAGAGGAAGAAAGCAAAAGAGAGGGCATGTCAACGGGCTTCTCAAAGGCACTCAAATGTTTCTCACCTAGTCGACCCTGCCATGTTTGGAGGCTCACTAGAGAATGCCTGACACTGTAGTTCAGTCTACATAATCGGGAGCCTTACTTAATCAAGAGAACTTGAAAAAAAAAAAAAACACTAAACACAAAGTTTGGTTTGTTCTCTTGTCTGTCCTTCGCAGTTTCTTCGTGACGCTCCTTTCTGCCTCAGCGCTTTCTCCGCACAGAAGCCCTCCTCAGCCTTTAAAGTTGAGCTTGAGAGCTGCCTCGCCTCAGTACTCACATCTCTCTGATCGCACCTGCCCTTTCACGTTCTCTGCAGACCACGGGACTGAACTTTAAACTATTTCCTCTCACTCAGCACTGGAAGTCTGTCACGAAATAAGTCTTTCTTCCAGCCAGAGATAACTGCCTACTAAATGCACATCACCCTCATGGAAATGAGAAAGGTGTTTCTACATCCAAGGATGTATTCTAGCACTCAGGTGCCTCAACTCCTCAGAGACATGTTTCTGCTTCCCTCCACTGTTAAAACCCCTACTTTCGAGGCATAAGCTGACAAAGGTGGAAAGGCACACAATACCCAGGGTCATAAATGTAATCTCTCAGAGCTAACTCATCCCTAGGAATCAATGTTGGCTCACAGAAACCCTACTAAGGGACCCAAAAGGGTCTATCCACTTCGGAGACAGTCTCCCTGAAGGGGGCCATCTAGGCCCCGGGTACAAAATTGAAAAGACAGAAGGTAGTGTGAGGAAAAGGAGGCCAGGAGTCAGAATCTAAAGAAAGAAGGCAGGAATAATACAACCGTGCCCTTCTTAGCATTACTACCTAAGATCTCCGAACAGAGCTTCTCAATGGTTCTGGAAAACACAAGTTAGGGTCAGCTTTCAGTGAGAATAATCGTTCCACATGAATGAAAGTCCATTCTGATATAATTTCAACCAGAGAAAGACCCAACTGGGTTAAGAATCTGTAGTTTAAAATAAAGCATAGGGCTGTGGGTTCTAAGGAGGCTTATCGATGTCTAGCGCATCTGGACCGTTTGCAAATGTTTAGCCCTATAACTGGGATAATCCCGTGAACGCACAGTTGATGCCGCTCACTGTATTTACATGGCTGTTAGAGCTCCATGACACTCAGCAGAAAATTGCCTCCAAATTCTTACATTAATTTCAGAATTTTATAACCATTAATTTAAGCACACATTCATTTTTACTGCCTGGCAGTCATCTTCACCAACAAAATATTACAAGTTCCACGAGGAACTTAGGCCTTCTTGTGTCTCTAGAGTTTCCCACAGTGCCTTGTCTTTCATCAGGCAGGTATCGAAATGACAACAGGCCATCCTTGAAAGCAAACTGAAGAGAGAAGTTAGTTCAGCTTATAATACCAGAACCTCTTGGGCCACCCGAGGAATGAACGAAAGAAAGTCACTGAGCCTTAGAGTCTGCACCTATTTGTCTCATCTATAACATGATGAGAAATAACAGCGAGGCTATGGGGATGATGTGGACCCTTCTACAGAGAGGACTAACCAAGTGGCTTACATGCTCAGGTCCTGTTAGACTATGAACAGACCACACCGAAGTTTTAGGAACGGCCCATAGATTGCTAAATAAGTCTACCTGAGCCATGCCCCTTTCAATGAAACCTTATCCACATACACAAACCAGGCCATTTTTTTTCTAGACAGGGAATTAATTCTATGCCAGAGTCAGAAAATCCAGAGTCTGGCCTCTGCCAACTTTATCAGTTTTGCTAAAAATTCTGTTCTAGAGTCTTCAGAAAACAGTTCTGTCTCTTGCTCACTTTCTTCCCCCTTTCCCTGTCAAACTATTATAAATGGATAGGAGGGCTTAGGTCTGGTGTTGAATGGTGTATGGGGACAGGAAACCAAATACAACCACCGAACGTCAGCATCTCACTTCCAGACACCAGAAGAATATATTAGGATAAATGACAAAGTCATTTGAGGATCAAATGAGGATGCTTGACCCTTCAGCCAAGTCCTTGGTATTTCTCATGGTATTTGTTTTATGGCCACAATCTCCGGGGCCCAAGAATTGGAGGGACTAATCGGATTGTTTCACAATGGATTCTGACTTGAATTTCTGAGACACTGCGTTGAGTTTTCTAGCAGAGGAGGTGAAGTTTTGAGTTCTGTATGTGGCAAGCAATGTGGAGATCATCAGTGTCCTTTCCTGGGAGCTGTCCTCCATGTGTGGCTGGTGAGACGTGTGACTGAGGCAAAGCAAAGTCATACAGCTGCAAGCAGTCCCCACCCCCTGGCTCCTGATCTCTCATCGACAAGCAGACTATCCTCAGTGACCCTTCACCCCCAGGTTAGCTTACTTGGTGCAGTGTGGTTTCTATCCCACTGACTCTAAGGCAAAACATTCTTCACTGGCTCCTACAAAAACAGTAGGAGCTGCCAATTTGATAGTACATACCAGAGCGGCAGTGCTTCTGGGCAATCAGTTGGCATCTCTCTCATGACCCTTAAACCCAGAGAACCACCCACTCAGGATCACAGATACTGAGGAGGGTCGCATCTTCATCATTCTCCCTAGGAAGACAAAGTGGTGGGGGTCCACTAGGCAGCTGACACTGGGTTATTCAACTCACCCTCTGAGCTTCAATTCTGGCTTTCTTGTTCTTTCCATCAAGGGATACACAGTAGAGAAATTCTCTGAGTGCTTCCTCCACCTTGCCTAGGGTGGCTAAAGCTTGTGCTTTTCTGAGGTGTGCCTGGAAGAAAACGTTAGCGGTCAATCCCATCTTAATAACCATCTTAATGTAGCTACTATCAACAGCGATTGCTGAGTGCTTACCGAGTAGTCCCTATCGGGTGGAGTGTTGTTAAGACTTTGATTTTTGTACCAGTAACAATGGCAAGCTATTATGAACCCCATTTTAAAGGCAATGAAAGGGGGATCCCGAGAAATAACCAAAGTACAACAGTCAGAAAGCTGTAAAGTTCAAGTTTAAACCTGAGACTGACTATATACAAAGCCAAGATTCTTAGCTCCTAGGCTTACTACCTCCTCTCACCCCACAACTGAGCATCACAAACATGTCAGAGCCTCCATTTAACCACAGACTCTAATAGCTCAGTTTTCTATGTTCATCCAGAGATGCTGTGCCTCTCTTTGAACTGGTCTGTAAGACAGTGGTGGCTCACGTGAGCCCATCACTTTTACAGAGACCTGAGAGAAAGACCATGGCCTCTCTAGCAGCAATCTCAAACTGAAACTGTGGCCTGAGAACTTCCAGAGTGCTCTTCCCTCTCAAAGGCAGACCGCCTTCCAGAAGACCAGTCACTGAGCCAATGCTTTTGTTTCTAGAAACGTATCTGTCTTTTCCTCTGTTGCTGCACACTTTATAGATATAAGGATGTTTCACGGCCTCCGGATTTAAACCTAAGTGCTCCGGACTAATTTCTGTATAAGGACCTAAGCAGCAATCCTGAGAAGGTCAAGAATGAAAAAAAAAAAAAAGGAAAAAAAAAAACAGAGTAAAGGGGCTGCCACCTCTTAGTGCCTAGTATGAATATACCTTGTCAGGCATCCCTCTGCCTTCTAATGTGTGGCTGTATGGTGTCAGAACCTGGCTAGGATTCTTGAGCAGTGGCCACAGCTACAAACCTCGTGGGGACCTCTATCCATGCCCTCAATTCTTTCTGGATCCAAATCTTGGCTGCCACACCTCCTTCTTGCTCCTGCCAAAAGTGACCTTTTGGAGAAAGGCTAGCCGGTCATTGCAGAGCAGCTTCAGTGCTGGGAACCTGCAGAGACCTCTGGGTGACTAGTAACCAATCCAGTAGCAACTCACACAGCCTACTTTCTCAGGGTGGCCAGCTTATCCTGACAGCTGTACTGCCGGCAAGATGCACTGAATGACACAGAGCCCTGGATGGATGGATGGATGAAATTGGGCTGTGTACTGGCCTTATGGCATTTCACCCAGAAATAGTGGGAAATACAGAAATCAGAGCATTCGACCCTTTCAATCCCCTGCCAAGTACTTATACCAGTTCTTTCTTCACTGTAGAAACCCCTTTTCTCATTATGTCTACAACATGTTTCTCAGGCCTCTTCCCATCGTGGTATCTGGATTTAGTTTTCCAGTAGAAAAGGCTGCAGGGAAGCCCCCCTTACCCCAAGGCTTTCATGTTAGATAGCCTGTCCCCATGGCAACTTAAGGCACTGGTGACTTGTATTAAGCTGTAAATGCCTTCCTTGGGAAAGAGAACACAGTGATCCATTACCATCCACGAAAACGCTCTCGTGAAAGACCAGTGAGCTTCACTCTAATATTACAGACTCGCTGTCATACTCCAGGCTGGCCTCAAACTCCGGATCCTCCCTGCATGCCACCACACCCAACTCCATCATGCCTTCTCTGAAGTTCCTAGGTCTGTAAAACTTTCAATGATCCGATGTTTCCATAGGTTCAACAACAAAATTTATTAGGCAGCAACATCTGAACTAAACTGATGTAAACGGTTTTGTGGTATTTACCTGTTCAGTGTGATTTTGCATGTAAAGTGCTGCAGAGAAGTATGTTTAATTAGACCCGCTGGGAGGCTATCTGGAGACTACTGAAGGTGGCGCCTAATCCAAGGTCAGAGAAACATTCTGCATTCAGAGGATACCTGTTCCTGTGACTGTCAGATAGGCACAGTGGCCCTGGTCTTGGAGACACTGCTTTTCCCACCCTCAGGCTGTAGACAGAGGTTCTTAAACCAATATCCTGTAAAGTTTGGAGCTTGCAGAATTTGCTCTTCTCACCTTTGGTCCTTACACATCCCTGCAAAACGATCATGGCCGATAGCACTAGCATCATATAGCAAATAAGAACACGTGAGTGTTGGCGAGTTGTAGCCATTTCCCCCATGGTCACACTTTGCAAGCATTGAGCCATAGACCCAGTTCTAATCTTCTAAACAAAATACAGACATGTGGAAGAGGGTTGTCCTGAGGCCAGGCAAAGATGCAGAAAGTAGTACTTTGTATTCAGGTATCCCCTGTCTTGAAGTCTACCTCGTCTTTCTTCTCACCTTTCCTTTTTGACTGAGATTTTTGAGGGGTATACATGGTGACATATCAAATGAATGTATTAATGATTCAAAATGGCACAACTATTGTGTGAATTTGACAATCGCTTTAAGGAAAACTGTTTAAGCTCCCAAGAAGCCTGGCTATCAATAGACATTCTTAAGGACCAGGGCAGCAATATCTTTCTCAGATTCCTCTCCTTATTTTCCCTAGAAAATTGTAAGAGTGATGATAATGGCGGCGGTGATAGCAAACACTTATACAATGTTACATGCATCGTTCCGAGCATCTTTTCTACATGATCTTGTATAATCCCCACGACAACCCCATTTAGTAGTTGCCTTGAATATAAGCATGTTATAAATGAGGACATTAGACACAGAAATTAAGTGATTTTCCCAAGACCATACAGTTAAGAAAAGTTGCGAGCTGTGACACGAAGTCAGGCTGTGTGGCTACTGATTCCATACTTTGAAAAAAACGAAGACAAGGCTATCCTTAAGGTCACCAATTGAAGGTGGACTTACTAAGATTCCTTACAGACTTATACTTTCCTATATTAATGGATGCCCTGCACTGCCCAGGCTCTAATATCTCCTGGCCCGGAGGGCCAGCCTTCTTGCACATCCCTGGCTGCAGACAGCCCCTTTCCCATCCCTCCTGTCCCACACTCACCTTAAAACCCATTGGCCGAAGTTTACATGCTATTTCTGCATCATGCAGTGCATCCTCGTGAGACTCCAAGGTGAAATAAATTTGAGACCGATTGCTATAAAGCAAATGATCATTTGGAGCTGCCGAAATGAGAAAAAAAAAAGCCCTCATTAATGGCCCCCAGCACAAGCATATGATAAGTCCTGTGTGAGGATGGATCCTAAGCTCTTTCCACTGGACCCAAAGGCTTAAATGTTATTTCCAGTCCTAATATCGGCCTGACTTTTACACCCTAGCTTCTCCATGCAAAGGAGTAATGTCGCCCTCCTGCAAGCTGGCGCTAGGTGGTGTAGTGTCTACGATACATTAGAAACGTTTCCCTAAAGAAAAGCCTGGTGCTCTTCTGCCAGATGAACGATGCAGGCTGCTAGTGCCCAGCAACCTGGCTTCCGAATGAGCCAGTATCAAATGAGAACGAAGCCAGGGAAGAGAGGCAGCCAGACCTCTAACAAGACAAGTCCATGTTATTATTCCAGACGGGGATTACCTGTGGTATTAACCACCATATGGTCAGGGCATATGAAGCTTTCCTGGGGGAAACAGATACGCATTTACCAGGTCCATCCTCCCGTCGATGGCCGAATGAAAAAGCACCTTGACAAGGCTTTTAGGAGTCTCACCCTCACCATCACCGAATCACTAGAGCTCAGGCCTGGACAGGTCTTCAACCCACCCATTCTTTAGATAGGAAAAGGCCAAGGAGATGACGTGAAAGGGCTAGAAGCCACACGGCTGGTTAATCTTTTGAGGCCTGTGTGAAGGGAAGTTCCTTTTTCTGAGTGTGGGCCCAGCATTTTGAATAATAAGACACTAGCCATTTCCAGGATACATTTCATACCGTCGGTTGAAGAGGTCCCTTTTCCTCTTAGCAGGGTGACGGTGCTATTGCCATTTTTTTTTGTTTGCCCTGACTGCTCTTAAGAGATTAACAAAAGTGTAGGAAAGATGCTCCCAGAAAAGTGGTGGTGGTGATAGAAAAGGACCCTGAGAAAGGGCTTTCCTGGCTAGCCTTTGGGGAATGGATGAAAGAAACAAAGCCACCCTTGGAATTCCATTCAGAAGTGGCCAGAGCCTATTCCATTCACATTGCTGCCTTCTCCCTCAAGTGCTGGGCTCTGACGTCTACCTCTACCCCGACCCGTCCCTCAGGAGTACTCTCAGAGATGGCCTGGGTGCCAATTATTTGCTTTTCACTTTAGCATAGAGTCTGCAGTCTTTTCTGCCACTTTTCTGAACTGCACATCGTCAGCTCAGAGCCTGTTTTGTACAGGCACACACAGGATGTGTTTTGTGATTAAGGTCTGTGTCCCTCAGTCATGGGGTCCAGTCAGGCCTGGTTTTGCTCCCGAAAACACTACCTGTTGCTAGCTTGAGCGGGATTCAACATGTGGAGACTCCGTCCCATCCCTCCTCCACCTATCAGAGATGGTCTAGGGGGGGGCCTAGGATCCCACAGCCCTGTCTGCTTAGCCCCACTGCCTCCTCCCCAGCATGCTTCTCTGGACACCGCGTCCAGCCTGCCTGCAGAGGTGCTGGCAGCAGCTTGGGGTTCCAAGGCCACTTCCTAGATCTGAGTAGGAGGAGGCTGGTGGAGGTCCCCAGGAGAACTCCCGTGCTCCATCCACTCCAGGAGAGATGTGGGGCTTCCCGCATTGCCCTTAAAAGTTACAAAGCCCACCCTTCCTCTACTGGAAACTTTTGGAGAAGATAGACAGAGGCATGCCCCTTGTTTCCTTGGGAATTCCAAGAAGTTGCCTGGTCCTGCCGCCGGTGGGGTTAGAGGGGTCAAAGGGTTCAATATCAGGGCGCAGGCTGTCTGACTGCGGCGCGTAGAGGGGGTGGGGCAAGTGCATCTATTTCAGCCAAGGATCGTGTGATAGGAAGCGGTGACAATGAGTCACAGGGCAGCGGGGAGCGAGGCCCCCCTTCTGCCCCCCGCACACGCTCGCGGGATGGTTTCCGAGGCGAATGTGGCCCACTTCGGTTACCTCAGCGTTACACAATCCCCGCCTGCCCGCCTGCCCGTCCGCCCGCCCGTCCACGCGGAGGAGGGGCCGCCGGCCCGGGCGGCTCGAGGTCCTTATGCAACCAGTGCTCTCCTGACCTAATTCCAGGCCGGACCCACCCCACGGGGAGCCGCGGCCCCGGAAGGGACAACTCCCAGAGACGGGAGCCGCGGACTCGGGTGCCGGCGGGCCACTTCTGGCTGGCAAAAGCCGGGAGGACCGCGCGGGAGTTTGAGAAACAGTGCCAAGTTCCTCTCCTGGCAGGGAAGGTAGCGGCAGGTGTAAGAGGGAGCGCTGAAGTGTCCAGGAAAAATAGAGAAATAGGGACGGTGACACCGCGCGAGGCAGAAAATAGTGACAAAGATGAGAAGAAACGCGAACAAAGAGGAATGGGACGAAACAGAGAGAAACCGGGGCCGGGTGGCATAAAAGCACAAAAGCAAACCGGAGATACGGAAATGAACAACAACTAAAAAAGCAATACCACCAGAGAGACCAAGTAACAGCCAAAGAAAGCTAAAGTAGAAAAAACAAACTCCTAGAAAGGTCCCTCCGCCGCCGCCTCCTCCTCCTCGTGGGCCACGGGCCATTCCCTCCCTTCCCCCACCTCGCCCGCGCGCGCCCAACTCTGCCCCGTCCATCCCCCACCTTGCAGCTGGGTTCATTCTCCCGCCCCCCTCCCCCCGTGTCGTGACCAAGCCCTCGTGGCCCGGTGGCGGCGCGGAGGACTCACCCAGCCGAACTGCTTCGTTGTATTTGAGCAGAGCCGCCTCCACCTGGTGCTCGCGGTACAGCCGGTTTCCCTCGTGCCGGAGTTGCGACGCTCGTGCCGGGCCGGGGAACAACTTGCCCAGAACGCCGCTGAGTACCACGTTGACTCGCAGTTGCAGGGGGGCCTGCGGCCCAGCCCACCGCAACCCGAGAGCTCTCCCACCTCCCATAATAGCCGAGAGCTTGACCCCGCAGAGCGCGCACCGCCGATCCGCGGCCCGCCCACGTTCCAAGCACAGTTTACAAAAGGTGTGGCCGCACCACAAGGACACGGGATCCGAGAGAAATCCGTGACACTTTTGGCACTTAAAGCCATCCCATACCTCGGGGACCATGGCTGCAGCCTCCCTTGCCTTTTTCACGGCCGCCACGCAGCAGCTCGAGCTGCCGCTCTGGTACGAGGGAGCCGGCACCATGAGCTCCTTTTGCGGGACGCTCTTAGCCAGGCAGCGCACAAACTTCTCCAGCTGCTCGGCCACTAGCTGCTGCCTCCCCGAGAGCTGCCTGTATACCTCGAGGGCTTCCCGAAGGCGCCCTCCGGATGCCAAGGCGTCCGCCTGTGCGAGCAGGACTTTGCACTCTGCCGGCATCGAGGTCCCCGGTTGCGGTGTTTGCTCCATCTCTTGCTTCGAGGGAGGTTCGGAGCCCTCGGGAGATGACTCTGGGTGGGCTACGGAGTCTCCTCGGGCCACTGATGCCGCCCGCTCTTCCGGCTCCGCCAGCTCCGCCAATTCTAAGTTGTTGCTGCCGAGCTCGGCGGGCAAGCTCAACATCTGTACAGTCTGAAAAAAATCCAAAGAGAGAGGGACCTGCGGTGGTTGCCGGTGGGTAGGTGGAGTAGAGGCGTCTAGGAACAGGAAACTCGCAGGAAGGAGCGGCGGACGGAAACGAGCTGCGCTGCCGTGAACGCGGGATCGCAGTGCGCCTGGCTCTGCCTCGCCTCCCCGAGCTCCATGCCGACTGCCCCGCGCCGCGTAATAACAGTCTTGTCTCAGCAAAGTGTTATATAAAACGTCACCACGTGACTCCACCCCCACGCAGCTCATTGGCCGGCTGCGGGGAAATTGTTACAAAACCAGACAGTTTTGTAACAGCGTTGTGCTTGCTTCTTTTGGCTTCGTGTTTCTTGGCTTATTTTTTGAGGTTGTTTGTGTTTACGCTTTATTTCCCACTCGCGACCTGGATCTTTTCTGGACCAGGGAGAGGAATGCAACCTCTTCTTTCATGCTTTTCCACCTCACCTCCAAAGTAGTCAGCAAACAGGTCCTCTGCGAGCCGCTTGCTAGAGTCCCCTGCCCTGAGAGTCAGGCTCCCCTCCAGGGGGCAATGGCTGCCGTATGCAAATGCAATGGGTAGCCGAGGGGCACCCAAGAAGCCCTCACCCTTTGTTCTCTAGAACAGCCCTAAGTGCTTCGACGGAAGCTCCTGAATTTCCTGGGGGAATCTCCCCAAAGAGACTTAGAGCAATTTCAGGAGAGCGCTCTCTGTTTCCACATAGGCTGCGAATTCCAAACAACGGATCCAGCGGTTGAAAAAAGTTCGGCAGCCCGTGCTGGGCAGCAATGGGAGCACGAAGACCAGGATTGCTGACTCGGACCCTGGGAAGGTGTCCCTCGGGCCCTCCTCATCTCCCCTAACTCCAGAACCAGTGCAGGAGTGAGCAGTGGGCATCCAGCTGGTGCTTCGCGGACCCCAGGACCCAGACACCAGATAGGCACAAGTTGAGTTTGTTGAGTTTGGGTGGGCTAGGTTGGACATTAGTAGTAGTGCCTGACTTGGGTGGATGGGGGTGGAATCTCGACCAGGCAAACTTTAAAAAAAAAAAAAAGCCAGATTGGTTCTACAGCACCCAGAGACTTACTGCCAGCCCCTGCATTTCAGACAAGAGCCGTGCACACAATGGACAGACAGGTTTCCATACAGAGAGGAATATCACACTTCAGGGACAGTTGTGCAGCTCCAAACAGGGAGGCAGAGTCCAGCCTTCTCCTCAAATGGCCTCCCCTCCACCAGTGCCTAGAGGTCCTTGGATAGTGATCAAAGAGTCCCAGCAGAGTGCCACCAAGTCGGCTCCTGCTGTGACCATTTAGCTGGGGGACTTTGGGCAATATCATCTAAACCAGTTATTTTCACTTCTAAACAAACAACTGTCTGGGATGGTTTTTAGCTGGGATGAAATCTTGTGTCAGAACTGCGATGTCAGACCTTCTGCGGACACTGAGGTCCTTAATCCAGACATAAGCTACCAAATACCAAGGTCCCGGAGAATAAGTCCAGATACTGGCCAGCACTCTCCAGATCCCCTCTCTCTGGTCAGAGAGGACAGTAGGCTCAGGGCAGAGAAGAAAGGCAGTTTATAGACTAAAAAAAAAAAAAAAAAAAAAAAAAAAAAAAAAAAAAAAAAAAAAAAAAGCAAGAAATGAAAGTGGGCTCGGCATCCAACAAGGAAGGCAGGATCAGCATAGGAAAACTTGGTCTAGTCTTAGCTTTGTCAACATTGGCTGTCAAGCAGACCCTGTACTACAGTTTTCCCCCGCCCCAACCTTGAGTGTTCTTGACCCTAAAACCAAATTTCAAGTGTTAACTACTGAATCCAAAATAACTATTCCATATGCCATGGCAGGGGGCAGAGGGGATGCTTGGAACTGGAGATGATCCAGTGGCAGCAAATGCTGTCGTCTATGAGAGTCCAGCCTGAGCTAGATTGCAAAGACAGGAAGCCCAGCAGGAGACTGACCAGGAGATGGAGGAGGTGGAGCCAAGTCAGTAGGGAATAAGCTGCTATTTCTAGTGGCTTGTTGTCTGAACTGTGGCACTCCTGAACGGAGTGAAACCCAGTAGTTTACTGTCAAATGGAACTCCCAGAACTAGTTTTATGCCTACCGCTTCTGGCATATAACGAAGTTATATGTATAAGTGTCCTCCTATAATGAAGGACAATCTGTAGGGCACAAAGAGATTCATATGAAAGGGCCATGACGCGAGTAACAATGAAACCTCTTAATTGAAAAGCATTATCCTTCCGACCTTTCTAAAACATTACCGCAGATTGTTTTCCAAAGATAGAGATGGGGGTGTGCCTTGATTCTCAGACCACTCTGACAAGTAAGCTCCTTGACTTTATCTCTCCTTGACCTATTGGCGATGGGGAAAGAAGGATGTCAGACATGCCGGCAGAGGGTCACAGCCCTCCAAATGGAAAAGGATGTGCTCTCCACGAAGGTCTTCTGGACACCTGCATGTACACGACGCTGACCATGAATTGCGTTTGGAATATTTCTGATTGTCAGGGCAATACAGGGTGCCCCCAGGGCAATGCAGGGTGCACTGGAGCAAAGGGCAGCTGCACCTAGTTGGTCACTGCCATACCAGACTCCACAGAAGAGCTTTACACTGTAATCCACTATAGTAGACTATGTCCAACAAGCATTCTACTGAGCGCTGGGAAAACTAGCACAGCAGTTTTCTTTCCTTCTTTTATTTAAGTTAAACAAACACTAGTCTCATATACATTGGTGGATCAAGTTTCCTAGTGAAAGGAGCCTCTTCCATGCTCTTAGTAATAACTGGGGGACCCCTGGAGTGAGGGTGGGAGGAGGGAATTTGCAGTATTTTCTTTTCAGATACCCATGTCCCCACTGAAAAATAATATTCTATGTATTTTGTTAAGATGAACTGGGGGAGGGAACAAGAATTGAACCACTTCTCATTTCTACTGGAGGAACCTTCTGGATCCCAGAGGAGAGAGTACACAGAACTGGACCCTAGCTTTCCTCAGTCAAGACAGTAGCATATCTACCTCATTTATTTCGTGAGCTTAAGGTACAATGCCATTAAAGGTGTGTCTTTAAAACAAAAAGTTGGAGAGTTATGGACATTTTCATTCACTTTCAGATATTTATATTTCATATCACCTTTGTAACACACTCCATTCTAGGTACTGGAGATTTCTGTAAGCAACCCTTAGCTCCCATGTGTTTCCTTATGGACAGTAGCACAACTTTCCCCCATGTCTGTGTGCCGACTTTCTGAGTAAACGAGATGCTCCAGGAAGGAAAGAAAAAGAAGAAAGTCTGGCGCCTTGCGTTGCTCTTGTCCTCCTCGGAGCACGTCACTTGAACAGCTTTATCAAACACAATAACGAATGTTTTAGCCCAGACTAGAAACATCCCGAGGAGTAAGCAGAAATCCAGCTGGAATGCAACAGCTCATTCATAAAAAGAACGGAACAGGCATGTAGATAGTGAATGTTTGACATTCCTGGGATGGAAGAGTCCAGTCAAAGCCAAGGACATGAATGAGAAGTGAGCAACATTCTCCTCTCCACACACACAAGGCATAGACCCTTTGCTGTCTACCCGAGCTTCTCATGTCAGAACCTGGAACTGGCTCGCACTTCTTAAAGACACTCACACCTTCACAGGAGACAAAGACTTCCCATTGCTCTGCAGAATATCCCAAGTCCAGCACTAAGATGAAGCCTACATATCAATCCTGGCTTCATATATGAGGAAATTCAATGCCAGAGAAAGCTAGTGACTTACTACAAATCACAATGGGAGTTTATGACACAGTCAGGATCGGAAGCCAGGGTTTCTGTCTCCATGAGTATTTTCCCATGTGATCATTTTGCTTCCAAAGGACACAGAGCATCTGTTCAAATAAGTAATAAATTATGGCAGATTTTCCATCTACAAGACTTCCATCAGTTCAATTAATGTGCACTGAACATGCGCTGTTGTGTTAACAAAGCTGACATTTGGGTACAATAATAATAGGCTATGATAAACACACTACCTACTCTCTGGGAGCTCCCTGAGGGTATGAGAAGCAAAGATTTACAGCAATGACGTGAAGACAACAGGTAGCATGTGCAAAATGCCCAGACAGCAGAGACAGTGTGCTTATGGTAACGCTCAAAGATGACATACAGACAGCGGTACTTCCTATGTCACGAAGAAGGTGCCTGTCAGCTAGGTGACAGCTGCTTTGAATCGCTGCTTCTCAACTCAAGGGGTCTCCCTTGGTATTGGGGCTATGTTCCCTGGGGGGAAGGGGAAATTCCACGTTGAGCTGGCCAAGCCCCAGGGTATCGTTTTGTGGCACTGAGGATCGAACCCAGGGCCCTACACAGGTTCGACAGGTGGTATACCACTGCGCTGCACTCCTAGCCCAAGCATTTGTGGTTTTAGAAGGTCTCCAGGAGACTGTGATGCTCCAAGTGGTCTAATGTTCACCTGTGGAAAAGATGAGTGGTATGGGATTCCCCTCTGTTTGCTGGGAATATGTTTTATTACCATTGGTTAATAAAGAGGCTGCTTTGGCCTATGGCAGGGCAGAATAGAGCTAAACAGGAAAACTAAACTGAATGCAGGGATAAAGAAGGCAGAGTCAGGCAGACACCATGTAGCTGACCAAAGAGAAAGACACTGGAACCTTGCCGGTAGGCCACAGCCTCATGGCGATTCACAGATTAATAGAAATGGGTTAATTCAAGATGTAAGAGCTAGCTAGGAATACACCTAAGCCATTGGCCAAACAGTGTTGTAATTAATATAGTTTCTGTGTGATTTTGGGTCTGGGTGGCCAGGAACAAAAGAGCACTCTCTGTTTACAGATGAGACAGGTCCTTCTTTCCCTACTTCATCCTCAGTATCCCCAAAGGACCTCTGGGATATCAAGAGTTCTTTGCTATATTTGAGTGGAGGGCAAATTGAACATTTAGAGATTGTCAATGATGAGGCCTCCTGCCAAGCAGGAAACAAAGCAAGACCATAAAATAGCAAACTGAGGAAAGTTTGCTCCATTTATCAACAACACAACTCAGACCGGCTTCCAAAACCAGTCAATCTGGTGTCCAAAGTACAAAAAAGGAGCAAGGTTGTGGAGCTGGCAGCCACGTAGGAAAGCCAGGGTGATGCTTGTTGCTGGGAGCATGCTGTTTTAACTTCACGATGTGACTCAG